ATTATTGATCTGTCTAAGTGTTATTTTTTCAATAAATGTAAATATCTTGTTTGGTAAACAAAGGATGTAATTGAATCTGTAAGTTAAGACAAGTATGCGAAAACTACAGTTTTCCATTCGTTATTTCGAATATAAAATATTTCATTATATATTTCGTTATTTTGTCACGTAAAAACATTTAAATTCTGTATGATGTATAAATATAAAAAAATTTAACAACAAACCCATTTGAAAGTAAAGTTTAGACATTGGTACGGTCGACATTGGTACATTATCATTGGCGAAAATGCACATGCACATTAACATTAATGCGGCTATGTGTATAAGTTGAGACACGCTTGTAGAAAACACTAAAAAGGCAATCTTCTAAACAATTTTAAAATATTTACAGATTTAATTATATAGAAATGTTCATAACACAGTAAGTAATTCCATTAGTTGCATAAGCTTTTACGTGAGTCTTTTTAATTAATTGATAATTAAGTCTGTAATAACTCTTAAAATAGCTCCTGTAATACCGGTACTTGATAATTGCTTGATTTCTAGCAACGAGTACACAAGTTAAAAATTCAACAATGCATTAACATAACAAGCTCTCTTTCACGCTGCAAGACTAGTAAACGGCAGAAGTAAGGCAGAACGGCAGAACTGCGGTATTGGTTTACCATACACGCCTGCAACGATGCGCTGCAAACCGCGCGACGAGTAGCTAAATGAACCGTAGAGTAAGTGAGCCTTCTAATATTTGTAGAGGGTTCACTTACTCTACAGATCATTGTGCCAATGAACTGTAGAGTAAGTGAGCCGTCTTCTATTTGTGTAATAGTTATCATGAAATAGGCTCGTATAGTATACGAGCCTCCTCCTGTAATTTATTTAAATTCAGTATTTTGGCTCGTATACTATACGAGCTTATTCCTGAATTATTCAAGAATTCATACGCTTGGCTCATAGGCACTATGATCTGTAGAGTAAGTGAACCCTCTTCATTTATTTGATATTTTTGATCGGCTCGTATAGTATACGAGCCTGTAGTGCAAGTGAACCTTCAATATTATTTACGAAGCTCGTATAGACTATGATTTGTAGAGTAAGTGAGCCATGTGTTTTAAGAATTACATATTTGGAGGCTCATTGTGTCAATGATTCGTAGAGTAAGTGAACCCTAACCCTCGTGGATTTCCATAAGGAGTAATCTGTGGCTTCAGTTGGAGATAAATTGTTGGTAAAGTCAGAAAACCATTCATTCTTTAGATTTACTAAACATCGTTTTAAAGTTTGAGCTGCATGATTAAACCTATTTTTATCAGCTGGGTTTCGAGTATTCTGCCAAATCCGTCTTAGCTTGCGTTTCTCAGCAATTCGTTTTTTTATAAACAAAGGATAGTTTATCGATTTCGTCACCGAGGTTTTTCCTTTAGGAGTGGCTTCCCAACCTGCTTTTTGTATAGTGGTATTAAAGTAATTAATTGATTCCTCCAAATCTGTTGGGGGTTTTAACGGAATTTTCAGGTCAATATTACTGTTTATTAAGTCTCTAAAGTGATCCCAATCAGTGAATTTATTGCAAAGGAACGGTGGTTGTTCTTTAAGAGAAATGATCTTACTGTATGTTATGATAACAGGAGAGTGATCAGAAGAAAGATCAAGGGATGATTCTACATCAATATAGTTCAATGAAATGCCCTTTAGTACGCAAAAATCTAATAAATCTGGCACTTTGTTTTGGTCCGTTGGCCAATAAGTAGGTTGGCCTGTCGAAGCACAATCAAATCCATTTTCTGTTATGGCGCTATAAAGCGTTCTTCCTCTAGGAGTTATTAGTCTTGATCCCCAGTGGGTGTGTTTTGCGTTATAGTCTCCACCTGCAATGAATTTTGAGCCAAGAGATGAGAAAAATTCTTTAAACTGGTCTTTATTGATAACATGAGGTGGGGGACAATAAACAGCCGACAGTGTCAGAGAGCTATCATGCCCGTCCTCTAAAACTACGCTGGTAGCTTGTAGAAAATTATTTTGTGTTTTAGGTAGTTCAAATTGTTTAAGTTTTTTGTGAACTAGCACCGCTGTTCCACCATGCGCCCTATTATCAGGGTGATTAGTACTATAAACATTGAAATCTGAAATATTAAAAAAACTCTTGTCAGTAAAGTAAATCAGAAATTTTTTTTAACTTTATTTTATTTTACAATCTGTTCAGTACAACTGTGAACAATTAGTAAAAGGCATAATATAAGTAAATGACTTGACCAAGAATCTCCCCAGTGAAAGATCTTGGAAAAATAAATAGTCATATCATGTAACTAAAACCATAGATTAAACATACTCCTCAAGGATGAACAGGAATACCACCACGCGCTGCGCGAGGCCGCCACTTTCATGACTGGCCCGAGACTTCGTTCTTTCTTTGTGATCCTCTGCAACATGGGGGCTCCTGCAGCTCTCCTGTGGGATGCTTTCCGTGATTCCATCTGCGAGGACCACATTGCTGCATCTGGCATCTGCTCGTTGCTCAATCCTTGAGGAGTATGTTTAATCTATGCTAAAACTATGCAAATCGGTATGGGAGTTCAAGAACTTTCACAATTTTTAGTCTGTTGGAACGCAGTTTCATGCATGCGGTTTCCTAGACTGCCTATCGAAGTCGCACGTAACTAATAAAAAACTGTGATAGGCAATGAGGAGAACTGTCAAAGTAGGATTGTTTACAGTTATGTTTATATTTTTAAATGCATGAATAATTTGTTATACTTTGCGAATTTTTTTATAATTTATTTTTTTCTATTGTTTAGGTTAAGTGATGAGAACATTATGGCTATGGTAGATGTGTAATACTACAGTATGTAAATTTTAACCCTCCAAGTGTCCATAGTTTAGGCCTTAATGTCCACCTATTTTTGGCGCATTTGCAAGGTTTTATTAAAACGGATCTGAGAACCTTAAAACAATGTTAATTCTAATGTTCTGTATACCATTTTGTTTGGAAAATCATGGGCTTCAATATTATATATAAAACATAAGGAACATTTAAAAAAAAAATTTTTAGGTAAAAAAAAATATAATTTCAAAAATTTTCAAAAAAAAAATAAGTTCGCGCTCAATGAAATTGTATAAATTATAGGCCTATAAATATTTGAAAATAGCCACTTTGTTCTAAATTTTATGAGGATTACAAATATATAATAATATAAGGAAGTAGATTTGCAAATAAATAAGTTATGGGCAAAAAACAGATTTCAGTACATAGCGTTTAGCTAAGAATGCATAGCCTAACCATAGCTAGGAATCTGGCTGATAATTTACATCAATATCACTACCTACTTCTTCAGGATCATCAACCAGCACTTCAAAACCACTTAAATCTTCTTATAATGCAACACGTATATCACTACTTTTGATTTTTAACACTAAAACAATGATAAACGTAATAAAACACATCAGTCATCGGTCGGAGGGTAACCTAGCTGTTTACAAATACACGCACGTCAGCTGTCTGCTACATATTACGATCGGCTCAGATAACGTACAGCGCTGAGACAGACCTCTGGAGAAAGCTTAGAATGAAACGGAAAGAACGATACCTAACTCGATCCAGTTCAATCCGATTCAGTCAGTTATAGAGCCTTCGCCGTAAACAATGTCTGCTTGTCGAAAAATCGACAAGTAACACTACACAAAGTGTGCTGCTTGTCGAATTTTCGTCAAGTAACACTGGGAGGGTTAAGAAGCAAATTTTTCCAAACTGTGTCCTCCCCCATTGCAAACGCTAAGTTAGAGTATAAACTGTAATAAGCATTTTACACTTATATGCCAACCCCGTACAAAGGACGGGTACTCTGCTACTAGTGTTTACATATTAACTTTCCTTGCACTCTTTTACTTCCATGATGGCCGGCTGAGTCATAGACAAAACATCACTTCTAATACCAAGAGAATACATTATTTTTGTTAACTAACTATACACACTGTCCTAATTACATCCCCAGAATTGTAAGTTTTGCGCTAATGCTCCAGCTTCGTCTGACAGGACTTCTAGCGTGCTGGAGAACTAGCAACTAAAGCAGCTGGATCTCGCAGCGAGAACTAGCTGCTGAAACAAGCTCCATGTGACAGGGACAAAGCTTCACATTCCATTGTACACTTACATTGCATCCGTAGATCATATTCAGCACAAAGCCACAAAATAAACATTTAGCTGTCTGTTGCTGTCTCAAAGTAATGACAATGCAATTGGGTACCTACTTCAATAAAATAGGTGTTTCATAAAATCAGTTTATTATAAAAATAGTAATACAATCAAAAACTTGTGAACATTTTAAAATCAATTAGCCTACTTTAATGAATAACTAAGACTTTTTAAAATTATATATGCATAATTTGTAGGGAGAATACAGGGTGATTGATATAAGTGTGCCAGCCGTTTTATTCGAAAACTATAAGAGATATCAAAAAAAGTTAAATGGTAAGTGCCTTGGATTTTTTATTTAAAAAATTGTAGTCAAGTCAAAAAAAATATTTTAGCCGCCATTTTTCCAATATGGCCGCCAACTTTGATTTTTCTTACGGAACACCCTGTATTTTATGATGTATTCTGGTAGAAAAAGTAATTTTAAGACGATTTTATTCATGTGATTTTTTTCATAAACCTAACCGTTTCAAAGATAATAATGGTTAAAGTTTTGAAATTTCTGCATGAGAAAGAGTTTCGATAAAGGCCTAAGCAAGCATGCCAGCTGTTTTGTTCGAAAACCAATCAAAATTTCACAACTTAATCCATTATTATCTTTGAAACGGTTAGGTTTATGAAAAAAATCACAACAATAAAATCGTCTTAAAATTACTTTTTCTACCAGAATACATCATAAAATACAGGGTGTTTCATAAGAAAAATCAAAGTTGGCGGCCATATTGGAAAAATGGCGGCTAAAATATTTTTTTTGACTTGACTATAATTTTTTAAATAAAAAATCCAAGGCACTTACCATTTAACTTTTTTTGATATCTCTTATAGTTTTCGAATAAAACGGCTGGCACACTTATGTCAATCACCCTGTATAAATGTTGCCTAGCAAATTTTACTGAACAATATTAGACTAGGCCTAACAGTGGAAAATCTAAGGATGTGTCTGAATCTGAAAGCTGACAAAAAGTAGGAGATTCATAATAAAATATTACAGAAGACTTCTTCCTATTGTTGAGATTTGTTTGGATTGGATTTTAGATGGCTCAATGTTTCACTCATAATCTGCAGTTTTGAAACTGAGTAGTTTACTATCATGTTGACTTCAAGTGGCTTTGACTTTTTAAACTCCAAAAATGGTCCATTCCTGAGTTTTCAAAACAAGATGGAGTTGACTGTACATAGGTGTATTCGTTCCAACAATAAACATTTTCATTATTGTAAGAATTAAACTCACTTTTCTACACTTAACAGAAAAGCCTAACAACTATTTTGTACAAAACCAAACTGTACACTATATGGACATAAGTTTGAAACAAGTTATTTATTACATGTAAAATACTAGCGATTTGTAATCATTGAAATGTGACACAACTTTATTTACGTTTCTATCCCTACGGTTTCGCTATAAAAATACTTCGAAAAATATAGCGACCTATTTACAATTCTATTATCATGAACTATTGCATTCCCACTTCAAAGTTCATTGTATGACAGTCTAAATTTGCGAGGTTGACAACAGCGCATGTTGCGGTTTTGGCGAAACTTGGCAAACAGATTAGCCGCACCTTGTGGACCTCTCCATCACCTAAAACAGAATCAGCTGCTATTGAGAATAAGGTTACCATCGGCGACCAAAGAACAAAATAGACTGGCAATACCGTACAGCATACACCGTAAAAGGACATCTCTCTGCACGCAACCGATGAAATATTAAATTTGCCATATTTCAATAAACTGACAAATATATATATAAGCCTGGTTTAAAAGGGTAGGGTAGAGTTTCTATTTAAACTTTCACTAGGAGCCTAGTAGGTGGAAGAATACAGATACTAGCAGCATGTTGGAAAGTAGCTCTACTCTACTTCCCCCACCACTAGCAAAATTCTCACACTCCTGCACACTATATACTTGTGTAAACGTGATCCCTTGGCCGTAGAGTTTCTAGTAGAGTGACACTGTCTTTTGGCTGGTTTTGAACACTCATTTTGGGAATGGAGGGGAACACACAGTTCACAAACTATCATCAACACTCTATGTGTGAACAGTCGGTTGTTTAAAATCGGTAGTGTGGACGAGAAAGTAGCTCTACTATAAACTCTACACAACCAACAACTCTACCCATGTAGACCAGGCTTTGGTGTTGTTGAGATAAAATACTAAAATTTAGGAATTTGGTACAAAATTATCTACAAATGGTGAGGGCATAAATGAATCTAAATAAGTTTGACACAACAAAAACTTTGTGAAATAACATAAAAAGTTGGTCAGTGAGAAACATTTTTTGTAATTGGCCAGGTGATTTTCAACAGCAAGTTGTGGGATAGTTAAAATTAATGTTAGTAAATTAAAGTTATCCTTCTTTACATCTAACAAACCTAATAAGGTTCGTAACCTAATTAGGTTTAATTTGTAACCAAAATAGGTTACAAAGGTTTATCCTCACCATTGAGTGTTTCGACTAGTTTCGTCTGGAATGTTTCCTGATTGCCGGCAAAATAAACATCAGGCCTGGCTTCCAGGATGAACGGATCTCGCTCGTAGAACGGGTAGCATGCTGCAAAGTCAGATGTAGTTTTAAAAAGTTTTCTATAAAAATCTAGATAAATTTTTTCTTGGGAGTTATTACCAAGGACTAATACATTATTTAACAGAATAATACTAAAATTGAAGGATATTTTTATCTTTTACTACATCCACTCTGAAAGTAAAAATAATTTTGATTAACATATAAACATAAAATCAAATGTGAGTCTTTTTACTTTTACATGGTTCAAATAACAAGTTTGTCTCCCATTTAACCTTTCAGAGGGCGCATTGGTTTTCAAAATGGGAGAGGGCGCACCTGGAGGTTACTTCCAGATCAATAAAAACAAACATTTATGATCTAAAATTTGTATTTTAGTGCACAAATTAAGTTTTATATTTAATTTTAAACATCAAAAATGTGTTTAGTGAGCTCTTAATTATAAAATAACTTAATTTGATTTTATAAATATAAAATTAAACTATTATTCTATCAAATGTTCTAATATAAGAGCGCACACGGAAGCTAATTTCTCTTACAAAACTAACAAATATAAAATAGTGGTGAGTTTTGACCTTCACTTGATTCTAGGAATAAGTTGTGTGAGGTACAGTGACAATCACACTGCGGGAAAAATAAAACATCCCTGGAGGTTACTTCCGTGATGCGAACTCTGGAAGGTTAAACTACTTTTACCATTAGAAGCTATCATCACAAATAACTTTGACTAGGCAGTGAGGGCTGGTAGAGGAGTGTGTAGGTATAAGGAATAGATGAATTATGGTGGTACAGTATGGAGCATGGTAAAACTATCAGAAAATATAGTCCAGTGTGGATGCCTCAGCTCGTACCTTCCGAGAGCAAAAAAAGTGGCAGAAGGTGTTATCACTAGGATATGTTGTCATACCTTGCAAAAATATAACGGGATTTTATGGTACTTGATCGTCTGCATAAACCAATAGTCAGATAACACAGAAAATCACTTCATTGAAAATCTACAGTATAAATGTTTAGCTTCTTCCTCAGTAGATAGTATATAGAAAGTATAGTTTTTGTCAAAATTCTAAAGGGATGTCTGTGTGTATGTGTGTTTGTATGATTGCATCTGTGTGTGTAGATGTGCACAGAGCTACGGACTACATCTGTTGTCCAATTTTGAATATGTTGTTGATTTTTTTCGGTAGCCCATTTGAGTACCACTAGTTTATGGTATCTCCAGGTTTTTTAATTTGTTTATATTTTAACTTTTAATTGTGGGTTTTTGGTAAAAACCCTTAAAATTGTGGACAAAATCAGATTATGAACAAACCGGTTTTAATGAATTTGTTTACAATATAGCATGTTATAGTCCTTTAAACTAAAAACAATATGGTATAATCATTATATCTCCAATGCTGTAAAAATTATGGTTAAAAAATTATCGCAACTTTTTCTATTTTTCCCATAAAATATCATAGTGACACCCAACGCTTGCCCGTTATAAGGGTTTAAGATAAGCTAGGGAAAGTGTGTGTAAGTTTGCTGATAACGTTTATTTATAAATACATCGATGACTTGATGCCGTTGATAAATTCAATATCAATCGCCACTTACGCAGAGTATCCGGGGAGGTAGGGGAGAGATGGCCCCACTCCAGGGTTTGATGTAGAGTATCCAACGGATCACTCATCCGGGTGAATCGGATGATATCCATAACCGGTTGACCAGAAGTGCCGGTGATCCGGCGTCCGTTGACCAAACAGCTGTATGGGTTGGTGACGCCATGCAGACTCTTGAACCTAGAAGCCTGTGATGAGAATTACGTGATTAATTGTTTGGATTGATTCAGAGTCCAAATATTTGTCATTTCAAAAATTTACTATGTAGGCTATTTTAATACAGTTTAGTCTCATTAATCAAACAGGCCTTGGGGCCCTTTTAAGTTTTGTATTTCTCCATAAGATTAACATGGGAAACAAACATTGCTATGAAACTCCAGCTGTTGTCAGAAATTAGTGAGAAGAAGAACATATGTTATTTGAAAACAGTCAATAAGTTTGCTAATGTAACAGTTTGCTACAAACATTTACTGACTTGGTTGAAATGAAATAGTTACTATTTGAATTTGGTTTTTCGTAAATATTACAAAGGAAAAAAGCTAGAGACCCTGAATAATTTATGATATACTAAAAAGAAAACTGAATTTACAATGTGCTACATTTCTTGGTAATCATTGAAAGAGCCGATTTGCAAACTATGGAAACATAGGAAAGTCATAGAACACCACCAAGGAGAAGAAATAGAAACAATGTTTTTTTATATTTTTATTTATAATTGCGGTTATGGACAACCTAATGCGGCTATGAGTAAGGCTATTTGTAGAAAACACTAAAAAACAAGATCAGCTTTTGAAAAATTATAAGATATTTACAAGAAATGTTGATTACAGTAGACCCCCTCTTATCCGACCTCGTATTAATCGATAATCGGATTATCCGCCTTCGATCGTAAAATAATACAGTTTGTTTTAACCGACCTTGCTTTGAGAGCAGTTCGGTTTAACCGCCGCTTTCTAAGAATCTTGGCATTTCCGCTCCCACGCTGGGCGATGAGAACTGAACCATACGCTTATCTCCACAGGATATGACTAAGAATAAGTTATTTTGTATTGATCACAAAAAATATAACATGTTGTCAGTTTGTTATCTTTGCGGAAAATTTATAACATCGTAAAGTGCGTTACGATTTTGAGAACTGATTATCTTATCGCTGGAGTAAACAAACAATGCAACTTGTAGGGAGGGCAGGGAAGGGGGGTTAACAACTCCAAGATCAAGATGGTTTTTGTGCCTCGAGCTTCTATTGAGAGGCTATAAATAAACATCCTGTCTTGTAACAAAATAGTTGCTTGTATCTTTAATTTTGACAAAAGGTTCTATACTGTATTATGATGGATTTGGAAAGCATCAATTAATACATTACAGTTCTAATGTTATTAAAATAGGAATTTTTATTGACTCTTGCCTAGTACCATTGACTTTATAGTACTATAATATATTCCACTGAAAGTAGGCCTATTTGACTTAACCGTGTTTTGTGTTTATTTGTGACTTTTCTATCAATACGAAAAAGGAGATAAGAGTAGTTTATTTTATAAATAATGCAAGTATGACTTCAAAATAATGATTATATAATTCCAAATGAATAGCAATTCATTATGTTTTCATTTTAGGGATTGCCCGTTTTAACCGACCTTTTGAGTCATCCGACCTAGGTCCGGTCCCATTAGGGTCGGTTAAGAGGGGGTCTACTGTATATTGATCTGTTATGTACATCTTGAGTATTTCCATAATCTTTCAGTCGAATCTTTTAAAGTCATCAGAAATTATGACTGTTATTCGTTTTAAAATAACCCCTATAATTAGCAATTGCTCGAATTCGAGCAACAGGTACAGTAGTAGATATAGTTATAAGACGTTTCTTTTATTTACTTTCCGTTCTCATTAGGCCTAATCCAAAACCTATTTACAAACATATTTAAAAAAGAAATTTTTTTTTGTGCACACTAGGAAAATCTCATCTTGAGGATCAGGAAGGAAATATAGGCTATACCCTGTTCCGTCCCGAAATAAAAGATAATTCCCATCATTCCTAATGTAAAACCTAAGATATACAGCACTCACATTTGGGAACATGCAGTAATGTAACGGCTGTTGAGGCAGTGTATGGTTGGTTGGGTCAAACTCTCCCGGCATGATGTCTACGTCGACGAATTGCTGAAAAGAAACCACCAAATTATCTGCCAGTGTAACAGAGCAGCGGTTTTTACATTGAAGTAGAGGAGTCATAAAATAGTATATTGAATTACTAGAGCCTAAAGTGACTCTTTCCAAAACAAGTTTAAGTTAAACTATCGACTATCGAGACAAAGCCTACTGTCGGGTCAAAAAGTATAGATACTCGAGTTTGAGCTTTTATTGCAACGTAACAAGTAGTCGTAGAAAAATACAAGTTACATCATAATTTTACGAACTTATTTCTGCGTTTATGTGTGTTGGTTTAAAATTTTTCAACTCAGCCTTTCAGCGGGTTGAATTAAAAAAGTACAGGTTTTTCGACGATTTACCAACAACGGGCAACTTTAACGTTTTATAACAAAAATACTACTGATCTTATCATTATGAAATTTTTATAGCTTTTAGAACATATACTTATAAAGCATATTTATAAGTTTTAGAATTTTTCGTCAAAACAAAAAAAAACCTGTTATGGTTTTTGTAAAGGCATTTTATTTCCGCGACGGGACAAGTTAGAAACTCTGATGAAAACTTAAATTAAAGTTCTTAAGTGGTGTTTAGTAATTAAAATGGACGTATAATCAAAGCTGATCTGAAACGCAATAGTGCATGAAATTTGTACTGCTATTGATCCGCAGGCCCCCTGCCCGGGACCGGTTTTGGCAGCACGGACCAAACCGCCGGGACCTCATCACTACAATATACCTACCCCTAACCATATGTTCACTGTTGCAATAGACTTCCCAACGCATTCTGAAACCTTTTGATAAACTGAATATTGCTTGACATTACACCTGACACCTTCGTTTTTTAAAACAAAACATATCGCCTTTAAAATCATAGTGATTTTAGCTTCTGATAAATGGGGCGCTCTGGGCATCTTGACTACAACGAACAACACAGACAGACTGAGGAAAATATGTTCAACCCACAATAATAACATTGTAGGGGAAGGTAGGTATTTAAGTATGATTCATCGTTCGAGCGTCCATGCTGCAAAACCTAGTCCCGGGCAGGGAGAACTTCCTGCCTGCAGATAGCGGTAAAAATTGCATGCACTATTGCGTTTCAGATCAACTTTGATTATACGTCCATTTTAAATATTAAACACCACTTAGCTAATGTGTAACTTAACTTTTCATTTGTATCTTTTTAAGAGCTTTAATTTAAGCTTTCATCGGAGTTCCTAACTTGTCCCGTCGCGGAACTAAAATGCCTTTACTAAAACCATAACAGATTTTTTTTTGTATTGACGAAAAATTCTAAAACTTATAAATATGCGTTATAAGTATATGTTCTAAAAGCTATAAAAAACGCATGACGATATGATCAGTAGTTTTAGCGAATTTCCCTATAGGGAAGTAGCTATTACCGTAGGTCTCATGGTAAGACTTAGGCCCGGGACCGATTTACTTTTTCATTTTGATGTCCCCAGAGGCCAAAAACACCACTCGTTCAAATTTTTATATATGTATATATATATATATATATATATATATATATATGTGTCCGTGAACACGATAACTTGAGTAATTTTTATCCGATTTTGATGAAATTTGGTTTGAAGGTGTAAGGCGGGATAAACTTGAATGAGTTCGCGATCCAGCATGATCGGACCATGGGAACAGGGTTTTATGGGGGGTTTTATGGGGTAAAAATTGGTTTTTCTCACTTTTGACCCTCAAAACACAAAATTTCCCAATTTTTCTCTAAACCTTCTTAAAGAGCTTAAAAAACAAACAATTCAGTATATCAAAGTGTTTTTGTACGGTTATTGGCTACGGAGAAAACTAAAAAAATCGTAAATTTTAAATTCCCATGTTATTCTTATGGAGAATATTGTAAAATGTTGTAGTTTGCTTGTTTATGGATATCTTTTGATCAAACTTGGCAAATATATTCATTTTATACTAAGCAATAATTATTTTACCTGAAACACACACTTTATTAGTTTCCTTGTAGCAGCAAACCTAGGTTAAACCTAATGTTATTTAAATAGATCAATTGAAAATCAATTCAGCCAAATTGAAATTCGCTTAGGCGTCAGGTTTGCTGCGGCGGGGGTATTTTGTTATAAAATGTTAAAGTCGCCCGTTGTTGGTAAACCGCCGAAAAACCTGTACTTTTTTCACTCAACCCGCTGAAAGGCTGAGTTGAAAAACTGCATAAAACATTGTAAATCAACACACATAAACGCAGAAATAAATTCTTAAAATTATGATGTAACTTGTATTTTTCTACGTCTACTTGTTATGTTGCAATAAAAGCTCAAACTCGAGTATCTATACTTTATGACCAGACAGTAGGTTGAACAGGAAGTGTAAAAATCAACCTTTTGCTTGAATGATTAACCATTAATTAATTACCTTATACTGAACCGTTTCGTAAGCTAACTAGAAACTAATTAAGGTACTTTGGTATCATACCGACCACGTCTTGTAAACTAATCTAACCTAACCTAATCCAACCTAAGGGTGGACTATAGATTAGGTTAGGTTACATAGATTTTGTTATACAAACGAATGACAATCTGTTTTGGAAGTTAAGTTTTTGTTTTTTAAAGATGAAAGTTACGTGCATCAGGTAAATGATGTCCTTGACTCCAACTGATTTTATTCGCCTAAGGAAATAAAAATCTAGTTCAGCTTCTCGAACATGTTTCATGCACTTATGACTGTGCTTTAGGATATTAAAAATTATTAAATGGTTACATTTTCAAACTGGACTATCTCAGAAAACTTAATCATTAGCACGAAAAAATTAATACCACAATAAAAAGTAATTACGGTCCCCTGGAGGATACAACTAAGAATAGAAAATATCAAATTTATATTTCTTTACCACAAGCTGGTTCAAAAATCCATCGAGGAGTTTGACTGCTGAAAGAGAAGATGAAGAACTTTCTATTGTTGTGGTTTTCGTCACTTTATCTTCCTTCTTTTCCACATCACTCCTCACACTGTTTCCTGAAGTCATAAGTCATAAGTCATAAGTATTTTATTGCATAAAACATTCTTCTTTACAAAGGCAATGGTGAACAGATGCATGGTCAATCAATACGTTATAAAAACTAAAAGTAATAAGTTACAACAAAATACAACAAGAACAATACAATTGAGAGAAAGTTACCAATTCAGACAAGTTAGAAAAAAGACAAATTTAAATAAAGATCTTGAAGCAATATCAGAGAAAAAAACAATAAAAAACATTCTGTGTCATATTTTACATAAACTAATGGTCAATCAATATCACGGTCATTTAGGAAATCTGCCAGGAAGTAATATGATTTCTCCACCAATAATGATTTTGTCCAAATTTTAAATTTTTGTGGTGTATAGGATTTTATTTTTGAGGGGATCTTATTATATAGACAAATCCCCATATAGATGGGGTTTTTTTACAAAATGAGAGTGTCTATCAATTGGATAATTTAGCAGATTTGGGTTTCGGGTATTATAACTATGAGTGGGTCTAAATTCATCAAAAAGTGTATTATTTAAATGAACAAAATTTACTGTTTCATAGATGTACAAAGAAGTCAATGGCATTATTTTTAATTCCTTAAAAGAACGACGACAGCTTGATCCATATTCTGCCCATAATTCTGAATTAAATAAATAAATATTACAATCTTGTCCGGACACTCCTCAGAATGATGGAGTTTTTGGTTATATTTACAGTTCAGATCCTAATAAAGCCAAAACGAGTCTTTATCTGTCTTCCTTTGTGTGTTTGATAACAATTTGTGCTACCTACTCCCGGAATAATTTGAGCACAGATCAAGATTAAAATATTTTTCCAGTATTTACTAAATCAGTGAGAATGTTTAGTTATTTAAAACATTACCATTATTTAAATAACAGTCAGCTGTTTTAAGTTTAGAGAAAGATTATTTCTGCAAACTGACACTACATTATAAATTGTTTACAATTAGCCTAGTGATATTTTGGTAATAATTTTGCAATGTTTTATAACATAGTTACCTTGTTAATAGATAGTACCTGGGGACCGAGCTTTAATCGGAGAAAATCATTAGTTCACTCTGAAAGCAGTCTTAGTATCGGAGATACATAAATCTGTTCCCAAACTCCACACGGCTCGCCTTTACAACGTCCTACACCATTTCCTACGTCATGGACCTGTTTCCCTCCATTCCCATAGCACTTTAAGATTGTAGATACCTTAATCTAATCGTTATTAACAGTTCCCACACTCCGGACAGCTCGCCTTGACTACTTCCTTCACCACTTCCAACGTAGCGGACCTGTTTTTCTCCCTTCCCATAGCATTTCAGAATTGCAGATACGTTAATCTAATCGTCATAAACAGTTCCCACACTCCATACTAATCGCCTTTACTACTTCCTTCACCACTTCCTACGTCGCAAACATGTTTCCCTCCCTTCCCATTGCATTTAAAGATTGCAGATACATTAATCTAATCGTCATAAACAGTTCCCACACTCCGGACAGCTCGCCTTGACTACTTCCTTCACCACATCCTACGTCGCGGACCTGTTTCCCTCCCTTCCCATTGCATTTAAAGATTGCAGATACCTTAATCTAATCGTCATAAACAGTTCCCACACTCCGGACAACTCGCCTTGACTACTTCCGTCACCACTTCCTACGTCGCGGACCTGTTTCCCTCCCTTCCCATAGCATTTTAGGATAGCCCATACCCTTATCTAATCGTCATAAACAGTTCCCACACTCCGGACAGCTCGCCTTGACTACTTCCTTCACCACTTCCTACGTCACGGACCTGTTTCCCTCCCTTCCCATAGCATTTTAGGATTGCAGATACCCTAATCTTATCGTCATAAACAGTCCCCACACTCCGGACTGCTCGCATTTACTACTTCCTTCATCACTTCCTACGTCACGGACCTGTTTCCCTCTATTCCCATAGCATTTTATGATTGCCTTTACTACTTCCTTCACTACTTCCTACGTCACGGACCTGTTTCCTTCCCTTCCCATAGCATTTTAGGATTGCAGATACCTTAATGTATTCGTCATAAACAGATCCTAGACTTCGCACTGCTACCCTTGACTACAAAGTCTCGAGTAATCTTAAGTATAATCAATCTTTGGTATAATCTTTGCTCAATATTAACAAGTGATGTTTTTCCTTTTGTACTGTATTTGTAATTTGCTAGTATACTGTGGGTAGTTGGTTTATTATGAACACGTGCTACAACTTCAAGTCTTTTGTTTACCTTTTCCTTGTTATTTAATTCAACCAACATGGTTACTTAGCAACCCATAAGACTAATGTTAAAAAAATGTGACTTTCAGTTTCGTTTTTCTACGTAATTAGATTTTTGTTGGCAGTTCTAACTGCATGAAACTTGTTTTTAGGCCAAAAATAAACTATTTACAAGATTTGAAGAAAATCGTCGGAGCCGTTTTCGAGATCTTTCTGCAAGCAAGCAAGCAAGCAAGCAAGCAAGCATACATACAAGCAAACATTGCTCGTATTAGAGTATAGGATATTTTGACAAAATTTGGCAAATGTATTAATTTTGAACTAGGCTAATATCATTGAACTATAAAAACATATCAGCTTTCATGTGACTCACATAAATACTTGTTCCTAATTTTACTCAAAAAGGGAATAAATCTGACATGTTTCGGGAAATATTTAGAGGGAAAATGGACATTCGCTTAAGCCGCGTTTATACTAGAATTTTGAACAAATGTTTGGAGCATTTTGTCGGCAACACTTGTTTCTAAAAAAAAGTTTCAACAGATAGTGCACTTTACTTTGATTTAGTTGGAAACAATTGAATCACCGTTCCCGAGAACACAAGATCAGTCCCCCTTGAGATGGTCACGTACGTGGTGGTGAGTAGGCGCGGGTCAGTAGGCGGTGGGGTAGTGGGGAAGTGTTGTAAACAGCATAGAAGTACAGTACAGTACAATTTTTTCCACAACAAATGTTTTCTTATGTTTGGAACATCCTTTGATCCCTACCTACTTCTTATGAGAATTTTTGTTGTAAACACTTGAAATGTTTCTGTTCAAAAAGCAAGTGTTTCTTGGTTTTTTACAAACATGTAATGGGTTAAAATTATAGAGGGGTTAAGTTTTTATATTTATTATTTAATTATCAGTAGGCCTATTCCATACCTGGTTGGTGATAGTGGTAAACCTATCATGGTAAGGTAAATAGGCTGTTCTAGGCCTATCCTAGGGTTGAAGTAGGGATAACCTCACTTTTGGAAAAATCACTAAAGACACTATTTTTTAGATTCACAAGTCACAGTATTGCATCGTTGTGTACAAAACGAGTGATAAACCGTTTCTGTGTAACCCCCATGCCTAATATACACCTTTGGGAAGTACGGTCAAAGTTGTTGGTTAGGCTAGGGTGGTGAACCGCGATCACCAATACAATATCACTACATAACATGCATACACTTTGTCGCACACTAAGCTACACGTCACGGGTGGAAATTATACTTTTTGTTTAAACCAGAGACGATATTAAAGTTCCGCAGTATAATTTCACAGTCGGCGCAGGTGAATAACAACAGTAACAACATAACCTGTACCACTAGTCGGCTGTCTTGGCGTTGTGTTGTGACAGCGCCAATTTTGAACTCGTGACGTCACCGATCAGCTGGGAAGTGAATCAGCTGATTCCCCATCCCTAAGGGGTTAGGGAGGGGGAAGTAGGGAAGATCCCTTGTGGGCTAGGGATGCGACGACATTCTAATTCTGCGATTTCCAGCGTTAGGACGTTACTAGTGTTCAGTAGCTCAGTAGTGGTTTTGCCTAAAGTGAATTTACGTGTGCTTTATTGTGTTAGCGAAGATCCCTGGAGTATACAGGTAATTCACCGGCTTTATCTTAATAGTGTGTACTATTATTTTTTATTATTTAGCGATAAACCCTCACTTTATTAGTTTGGCTGGAATCCTTTATTGGGTGTTAGAACCTGTTGAAGACTGTGTGATAGCGTATGCTAGGGCTCGCACGGGATTTGTTAAAGATTCAATACATATAAATACATCGTTTAATAGTGTGTTTATAATATAGATTGAGGGTGACGGGGTTTTAGCGATTATTTTGCCGGGATATTCAGTAGGTGTTGAACTGCTGCGGCAAAGCGGGCAAAGTTGAACCCGTCTCTGCAGGTCGTGCAAACACGAGGTCGGGTGAAGCACGCTAAGTATATTCAGAAGTAATATTCTAAGTGTTGAGGTTGACGAAACTGCAACATTAAGTTGTTTCAAAATTTCATTGAACGGGTTTTCATTATTTTTAAATTTAATTTAATTAGCTGTTCCCAGGTGTGAACGATGATGATGGTACAGTAGCGTTGTTGGTTACCGGTACTGAGTTCACACCTGATTCACACTACATTTTTGCGTAAATACAAATCTGTACCTGTGCTAGGTTGTTGAGTTAATTAAATAAATTATTTTTATCTGAACCCTGGAAACTTCCCAGCACGCCGACTTGAGCGATCCGCTGGCGAGAGTTGGTGACGTCTTTCCCGCTTTAACCACGGAATAGCGCATATATTCCGAGCGGGAAAAACGGCACGTTACAAACATTAGTTGTAAACACTTGTTCCTAACTAAACTCCAGTGTAAAAGCGGCTCTAGTCTATAGGTTTGCTGCGATGTAGGTATTATTATTTTATTTACCCGCTAAGATGACCCGTACAACCTTGGCAGCTCGTTCCTGGTCCGCAGGTTCGCCCAGCATACCAGACAGCCAATCTATCAACAGTTGCGTACTGAGCAGGTCTGTGCCTCCAGCCAAGTCTAGGCAACTGACCAACACGACAAACCTGCCAACAAAAAAGTTGTTATTTATATCTCACCTTCACACCCTAGGACACCAGCCCGGAACCATTCAACACTTCTTTAGGCTAGACCTAGAGGGTCGTGCTTGTGGTATTCTCGCAGATACAATACATTGTCGGGGTCTGAACCTAGCTCCGAGGGGACGGAAATCACTACACCAGTGTGCTTCTCAAACAACCACACAGTAAGAACAGTAGGCCTGGTTCAATCATCTTAAAAGTGATTTTTAAGTTTCAAACATTTAAAAAACTGAAATAACATAATAACTACATTAAGTATGCTAAACAAAACTATTTGTACTATATATTATTTAGACAATTTTCGAATTTTCTTACAATTCAAACTATCACAAATTTAAGGATATAGGTTCATAAGGGAAACCTTTAACAAAGTCTATTGCAATATTGTATAGACTGAATAAATAACTATATGGACCATAAATATGCTGTATTGTAAGCCTAAGTGTGAGATACTAGCCTTGAGTAGCTTGGTCCAGTGGTGTGGTCGTAAATTTTCCAGAGTGGGAATGCTCATCATTTTCACTGAAAAATACAGGTCGCTTACCAATATATAGGTTCTTTTCCCCTTGCGTTCCCACACCATTACACCACAGACTTTGTCACCAACACAAAATAATTTGGTAAAACTTTTTTTGTAGATTTTATCAGCATTCTTCTATTTAACTCACTGATCGTCCTTTGGTGGGCTGATTAGAGGAGGTATTGTCTCGACGCCGGCAAAACACCAATCCTCTACAAGGAACTTTCCCCCTTCTGCTTCTTCCTTTCCCAACACCGCACAAACGACTCCCGTAACCACCTGAGGAAGAAAGTAAAAGATAATTTAATTTGCAGTTTCACGTTTCATCTCAAAGAGCAAGTTTGAACCGTTTGACAGGTCATGAATCATGTTTAAACTTTTTAAAGCTAGGGGTGAAAATATTTTTCTAATCTTAATTGTTGGTTATAAGTAGAGACCTATTATTAATTGGATATATTTCAATCATCAAAAGAACAAATCTAAATTACATGCGTCCGTCCTTGGACTTTCAGATTGTTTTGTGAGGAAGAATCCTTCACAAGTCTACAATGTTACTATTACAAAATGGCGGATGGGCAAGCACTATCTGGACTTAAATTCTTAAAGGAAAGCGTATAAGGTTTTCCTCAAAGTCATTCTTATATACTATTTTTTTTTCAGTGACAAAGCTTATTTTAATTTTTGTGGCCCCTTCAACAAACAGAACATGTACTACTGAGCTAATCACCGAGCATGACTCTATACGATTTGCAGACCAACATCAAGGACAAAATTTCCAACATGATACATCCCTCTTATGTTGGCAAGAGTGATGACACTACAATCGGTTGAATCATATCAAATAATTATTGGTAATTAGTTGAGAATAGGGGATTGGGAGTAGAGTAATTGGTCTTACTAAACTTAAGATAGTAAAACCATAATTATAAACAAAAGAAAAACTTCATTAAAATTGTACAATGGGTTTTGTTCAGTTTTGAAAAAAAGTTATGCCGCACCTTGTAATATCAATCAACTTTGGAAATTGGAATTTAAACATACCATTTGTATGGATCATATAAAGCCAGCATGATTGATTTGTAGCAAACGGATTGATGTTTAAATTAATAATTACAACTTACGTCAATCAATCCAGTATGTTTATGGAGGACGCACGTTTAAACCTTTAGGTCATCAGTGCAACAGCGGAGCAGAAGATGACCTAAAGGTCGAAACGTGCGTCCTCCATAAACATACTGGATTGATTGACGTAAGTTGTAATTATTAATTCATATAAAGCCAGATTTTACCCTAAGAGAAAAAAATTGAATAAAGTATGAACGTTCCATTGAAAGTTCAAAATTCACCATTATCAATTTCTTATCCTGCCATTTATCGCAAGAAAGAAAATAGTTAATTCACACCTTGTGGACATCTAAACTCCCATGGAGAACAATTCGCTGTAGTTCGTCTTCCAGGATCAAAGTATCCGTGTCAGACACAAAGTTTGTGCGGATTGGCTGGGGAATCAGCTGTGCCTGTAAATACAAGACATTCATCAAAATATAATCTAAGATATTACCCACAATATATATGGTAAAATAAGTACAAGGAGTCCCTAATAAGAGTTTAAAGGGTGATATCTGAATTGTTAAGTACTTATGTTATTTTCCCATGAAGAACCAACCATTAAATAACAAAAAATCGGATTTTTGGAGATAAGCTGGTTTTGATCAAAATTGATATGTTATGGTCCTTATAATTCTAAAAAAATAGTACAACCCATTGCTGTAACACTTATGGTTCAAAAGTAATTGCAGCTTTTGAGATTTTTAATTACACCGTCACCGCTTACCCATGATAAAGGTTGTTGACAAGCTTATGGGATAAAGTATGTGTCAGAATGCTGATACCGTTAATTATAAATATGTAATTAAAGAGTTTTAATTGATTCCATGTACAATTTCATTGATTATACATGGTTTTAATACTTTTTTATATCAAAATGTATAAAAAAGTTTGTGTGTCTAATGTTTTAACACCTGCAAAAAGACTCTGTGTGTCACTGATTGTGTTTTAAAATCAAAGTCACTGACGAAGGGATAAATTGAATGGTCCCAGAACAACCACAGAACATAAATTATATTGTTTTAGTTTAGGTATGTAGTAAACACATTCTTCCTAACTGGCAGAACCAATACAAAAATAAATAAATATACTTTTTATTTATGTTTGGACGGAGACCTTGCTACATGTGAGCCTAGTAGAAGAGATCTGGAAATGTGTAAAGTGAGCTTATTTATAAACTTCCTTAGTATGTGAAAAATAAATTTTACAACCCCTTTAAGCAGAATTTAAACTATTTTTACCTAAAAGTTATTTTGAAACTACCTATTGAAAATTAACAGTTTTAAGCAATATTATGACAGTTTGTAGACTCAATGCAGAACTGCTCTTTTAGGCCTGGATGTAAAAAAATAATAAAATAATGATCGGAAACCAAGTAGCCTATAGATATTTGATACCTAAATATACGGAAATACGGCACATTCTACATTTTTGACTTACTTCTTCACTAATATCTTTCAGAATGCTCGGTTTTAAACGTTGATCCAGAAAGAGGGTTCCAATGATAACACACTTTTCTCCCTCTGCTTTTTCCAGTTCCACTAACCGACAAACTTTAACGTCAGAACCTGAAATATTGATAAAACTAAGTGAAGAATATTATTCTAAAGTGGTGCTTCCATTATTTACAAAATTAACTACACTTTTATCTCCTTTTTTTCTTAAGTATTGACGATGGAAATGTCACAATTAAACCCAAAACATGGTAAAGTCAAATAGCCTACTTTTAGTGGAAGAAACATCCTGTAGAGTTTAGCACATATTTCCCCTCGCTGAGCAAGGGAGCGGAAATACCAAGATTCCTAGGAAGTGGCGGCCTCTTTTAACCCTGCATTTGCCCGTCCACATAGACTACAGATCTGTGCATGGAACGTATCCAGCAAAGCAAGGGGTGAGCCGGTACAGTACAAAGGTGAACTGTACTGATAAAAGTTTGTGGCAGTGACCAGGATCCGAGCCCACGACACTACTGCCTTGGGGCCCGAAGTCCGCGACGCTACCAACTGAGCCACCGACTCACCAATCAATTTGCTATCCGACTTCATCGTTTTATCAATCAATTTGTACAATCAATAACTTATAGAAGTTTGGGTTTTGAGTAGGATGAGTTCAGTTATCAGTTTATTTGCTGGTTTTATGTTTGCCGTCCCATATAAAGAGAATTTAAAAATGGCGCATCATCAGGAAGATTATCCTCAGCTAAGATGCTTTTGTTGGCAAATTTACTTACAGTAATGAGGTTAGGCCTATTCCTATTAAGTTACAATGATTTTTCCAGGAGCATCAATTATTATGCCTATGTAAGAGGTTAGGCTTAGCCTACTTACCAAATGGATTTCAAAATTAACATACCCCATTTTGCAGAAGCCCTTTTAACCAATGGGTCCCTCAATGAGCTGAGACGAACAGCATAAATGTGGGCAAATTGTTTGGAGAAATCCTTTGATTGCTGACGGAATATCTGTGATAAATCAACATATTCACAATCCACTCTCTTATGGCATATAGCAGCACTGTCCTCAGTAGGCGGACAGTTTAATACACCATATTTTCGCGACATGCTGTCTTCGAGCTTCATTTGTAGACAAATTAATTTTTTTCGATAAAACTAGAAAACCCTTAACTGAAATGGTCGTTTTGGTATCTTCTCTTCTTGCTTGAATCCGAATAGGCCTACTGATTCACTGTAACTGATTAAGTGAAGTTGGTTGAGGTTAGGATTTTTTGGAATCCGAATTCAGGATCTTTGTTGTAAAACCGTCTGCTATAAATTTGCCGCCATTACGTTGAGCGTGTTAGACACAGACTTAACTAGAATCCACTTAGAATGTAGTTTAGCCAATGGTTAAATAGAGTTTTTATTACAGTTATTATGATTATATAATTTGTCATTATTTTAATTTTATATGCATTCAAAATGCTATGTTTTGCTGATTTTGTATCTGCATACTTACAGCTGGTCTGAGCCTCCAGGGATGTTGGATGTTACTTACTGTGCTATCGTCAACCTGGAGAAAACCCCAACCTTTACAGTCATATTAACAAGGTGAGGTATATTACATTAATTTATTTAATACCATGCCTTCATTTTTACAATTGTTCACTGGATAAACTGTGTCAGATTTGAAAATAAAAACTTTCTACCATTAGCTTCTCAACAACCTTTATCATGGGTAAGCGGTGGAAGTAACTCTGGTATTTTTTATGAAAAATTACAAAAACTTTTGTTGAACCGTAATTTTAAAACAATCACGGAAGTTTACACGATTCAGAATTATGATGAAGAACCATACTAATTTTAATCAAACCAGATTTTTTAATAAGATTTTTCATCATGTATTTTATGGTGTTTTAATGCGAAAATAAAGTAACAATACCTTTTAAACACTTTACTTTTTACATTTTTTACAAAAATGGGAGTTATACCATTCTGTTAAGAATTTAAAGGGCTATATCATACTACATTTTAATCAAATCGTTCGGGTTATTTTTGAGATTTTTTCCTGGAACGAAAGGTTGTTCCCAGAAACCCCACAAAATTTCGCGATTTCAAGACACGGTAACTTTTTCACTGCGATCATGGAAGACATTGGTGATGATTCCATGAATGTAGAAGATATGCATGATTCAAATAACGTCCACTCTATATCACCAACGATCGCAGGAGGGGACATTCCAGCGGTACGGTATCGCGGCAGAAATTCATGATTTTACCACGACATCAGAAGACGTTCATGATTCCTCCTCTGTGACCACAGGAGACATGCAGAATTTGCCCACTATTACTTACGGGACTAAGCAACTTGAACTTATTCAAGCATTCAAGCAACCGCCCTGAAGTAGTAGACTTGAGGAGTGAGGAGAGCGAGGGTTGAGAAGTTGCCGCTGAAATCGCATGTTGGCAGTGCAGCCCCCACACACATATTTCTAACTACCGATGTTAGTTCTCATATATGACACCCACAACCACGGAAATTTTAACCATTCATCGCGATCGCAGGAGACGATCACAATATCACCGAGACCGCAAAGCAAAATGACTACAATATTTCGTAGCAACCACGGGAAATGAACTCCCGTGAAAATGTGGGAAATGCTTTGGGTTAATGAATTCGCTTTGACCGCAGGACATTTTTCCGATTCCATCGTTACCGTGGGAGACGATCAAGTAACATATTTGAAATCCATTCCATGACACTTGGTAATTTAAAGAATGTCTAAAATGTGGGGATAACCCACATCACCGCCAACAATTATGGTATAAGGTAAGAGTCAACCCCATCAGCTGATCCAAAGGCGAGCAGACAGTTCTACTCGGAGCGACACTAGCGCTCCGGCCGGAAAGGACCAACCGCCGGCAACCAGGTTTGTCTTGCTTGTACCACACACCGCAAAAGGACTCCTGGGTCTACTCTACAGTTAGTAAGGTACCCATAATGTCTAAGTAGTTAATTAATCTTTTGGGGGGTAAGGGGAATCATATCTTTTTCTAAATTAGACCAAGATCAACCAACAATAAATTAATTCAAGTAACTAAATTAAACTTTACGGTTATCGATATCATGTTTAGGGCAAGTTGCGGCAGGCGTTTCACAATGGCGAGGAGTAGTTAGAGTTGAATAAGATGTAGTTAATCTATTTATTTGAGACCTATCAAAGCTGGCTTATGCTGAGCAGGGTTTTCGTGAGTGCTATGGGGAAGTGGAATCAGCACGATTTTCATTAAGTGTGGATCTGGCTGGGTTTATTCCAGTCACGACCCCGCAAAAAATATCATGCCAAATCATGTATGATCATGCCAAATAAAACATGCTCCCTTAGGTATGATGTTTAATTCCCCATTCAAACAAACCTCTTTGTACATAGCTGCTCCTTTTTAGTTTCTTTTTCTTTTTCTTTTCTCCACTCTAGTGTTTGAAATTTGTCAACGAACGAACGAACTTCATCTTCATCTTCTTTCTTCATCCATCTTCCTTCCCTTCTCCTTCATCTGGGCCCTGTTTCATAAAAATACTAGTCTAGTAATTACTAGTCTAGTAATTACTAGTCTAGTAAATACTAGTCCCGTATTTACCTGTCCTACTAATTTCTGTTTCACAAACGTTTTTATACCGCTAGTAAATATTAGTGTATTTTACTAGTCACGTGACCAAAACTACTAGTCACGTGACCAACTTTACAAGGTAAACTCTCAAAACAAATTTCTAACCTCAATCACGGGTTTTCAAACCCTTTATAAAGAGTTTTAATTTTGTTTTCATTTTATACAAAAAGTAAATAGTTGTAGAAATGCAGTGTTTTCTTTAAATTAATAACTATATAGACACATAAGTAAAACAATCACATACTATATATCAAACCGCTATTATTTATGTTCATCAATGAGCACGCCGGCGCGGCGTCGCGTCGCTGCAATCAACACGGTGATTGTAGTAGTCGGTTGTAGGCCTAGTTGCGGCGCTCAACAGTTGGGTGGAAGTTGATCTGTTGCTGCCGCATTCGCACAATTTGTATAGTTTTTGTTTTATTCTGACATATAAAATTTAGCTTGCTATGAGTAAAGACAAGAAGGCTCAAATTTTGAATGAGAAGGAGAAGAAGAAGATGGCGGTCGCGAAACATCAGTTCTTGTGTGGAGTGTGCAATTTAACGGTTAAAGACTGTGAAAACGCACTTGAATGTGAAGGATACTGCTCGTCATGGTTCCACATAAAGTGTATCAAATTATCGAAGAAAGAGTACGACGCAATAAACCTCATTGCTGAAAAAATAAGGTGGTTTTGTGTGGCCTGTGATCGGCGAGTAAAATCCACTATTGACAAGGATACGGATTTGGAGAAAGAGGTCAGTGTAGTTAAAACTGATATAAAAATGCTGCTTAACTCACATGAAAATCTTAAATCCAAGCTTGGAGTTTTAATAAATCAAAATATTAGAGCAAATAATATTATTAGACGACTGGGTAGACAATGTGATTCTTTGCCGGAAGTGAGCGTCTGCTACGCAGACGATAGCTCGAACCTTGACATCTCAAACTCTGGTGGAGGGGATATGACAAACAAAAAAAACTCCGTTCCAAACAGACCTACAGGAAGCAAACCCGGAGAAGAGAGTGAGAAAACTGATGCGGCTATCACTGAAGGACTGCATGAAGAAAACTTATCTGCCTTTTTAGAGAAAAATTCTAAACCTGAATCGCCATCGAGAGCAGACGACAACGACACTGAAGCAAATCGAAATCAAAGTCAAGAGCAAAATCAAAATGTTGGTCTTGTGGAAGCGGAATCAAATAATGCCAAGAGTGTTGCGAATGTGATTGATACTCCACCTAAACAAAGAAACATTAAATTAGGTTGTAGTGGGACTAGTACAAGTGTACCGAAAGAAATAAACCATTTGGGAAAAAGCGGTAGCACTTCCAACCTGTATTCCAATGTTCTAAAATCAGCTAACAACACCCGTGTTTCAGTTGGTAGAGTCTCCAAGAGTGACATAAATCGCAATAAAAATAGGGTTGTAGAAGTGATTGGGAAAAATAGTAAATCTTCTTGCTTAAAAACTGCGGGAAAGTTCGAATGGCTGTTTGTCTCCCGTCTCCTACCCTCGACAACGACAGATAACGTGCTTAACTTCATGAAGAATAGTGAAATCCAAAATGCTGAATGTGTTGAACTGAAGACAAAGCATCCAACCTACAAGTCTTTCAAAGTGGGAATTGACGAAAGTTCGCTGGATAAAGTCCTAACTCCCGAGTTTTGGCCTGAGGGAATTTATGTGAGGAAATACATAGCAAACAGACACCGGCAGGAGAGACAGCAAGGTAGGCCTACCATTGACTCGAATGCTTTTTTAGAGAGGCAACCCCAAAACACGAGGCAAGGAAGGTGCAATCGGTAAGTGTTTGTAGACCTATACAAGACGTAGATATAATCCTATCTGATAATGAAATTGACTTAAGGTCCAGTACCTCTGATGTAAAGTTGACAATTGGACATTTAAATGTCCAATGCTTGCGAAATAAATTTGACTCTGTGAGTATACTTTGTAGAGATGAGGATATTGACATTTTGAGTGTTTCTGAACACTGGTTAGCAAACAGTGAGGTACAATTTTACAGTAAACTGGAAAACCTGGACTTGGCCACTAGTTTTTGTAGGTCTGTATTTAAAAATGGTGGCTCCGCTTTATACTTAAGGAATGGCCTAGAATATGAAATTATTGACCTAACAAAGTTTTGCATAGAAAAGTCTTGTGAATTAGTAGCAGTGCACCTCACAAAGTCAAATCTGGTTGTAGCCTCACTGTACAGGTCACCTGACAAAATGAACTTCACTGATTTCTGTGATAAGCTAGAAAGCTCGTTGTTGTATCTGTCATCTTTGTGTGTAAATGTCATTATGTGTGGAGATTTTAATGTAAATGTAATAGATTCTTCTTGTGATGAAGACTTCTTTAGGAATCTAATAAGCCAGTGTGGATTTTTTATAACAAACACCCTGCCAACTCGAGGGATGTCGTGTATTGACAATATTTTAACTAATATGGACCAGAGTAATTATGTGACAAGGGTAGTCATACCCATGATTTCTGATCATGACGCCATCCTAATGGATGTAACTCCTCAATCTGTGACTAGTACCCCGCCTCATGCGTGGATGAAAAATTATAAGTGCGACATACGCACTGGCTTGAATGACCCCTTACGGATTCTTCGCTTTAAGACTGCTCTAAATGAAATTGCCTGGGATGACATAATAGCTAGTAGACCACAGGGTGAGAGTTGTTTCGATTCCTTTTTTAGCCACCTTCAGGAAGCCCTGGATACAGTGTTCCCAGTAAAGGAGAAGCGGGCAGCAACCCTGAGTAAGACGGGTAGGCCTAAACCAAAGAAAAGCGTAGGACCTCGCATATCCGATTGGTACACTCCAACTCTTAGTAGACTCAAGGAGTTCATGCTGATGCTACGTGCCAGGGGAGACGAGGCTAGGTATCTGTTAGCTAAGAAGCTGTATAATAAAAGAGTTGAAGAGGCGAAAAGAGCAGGTAATGTCAAATTCATCGAAAATTCCAACAACCAATGTAAAGCTGCCTGGGATGTCATAAACTCAGTCAAGCCGCCCACACCAGGAATGCGCTGTGCTGCAAGTCCCGATGAATTTAACAACTTCTTTATTTCATCAGTCTCAGACATAGTTACCAGTATCCCTGATGCTCCCTCTGACCCTTTGGACATTTTGAAAGATCGGATGCCGGAGTTTCAGCCCGACCTTAGTAAGACCGTATGGACTAAAGTAAATGAAGAAAAGGTCCGGAAGATTATAAGTGGGCTTAAGAGCACCGTGAGCCGCGATTACTATGGGTGGTCTACCAAGCTCCTTAAGGAAGTAGCGGATGTCATCATTGCACCCCTCACCCTAGCTATCAATGACAGCCTGCAGCAGGGTTTTTTTCCGGCACTCATGAAGATCGCACGGACAGTGCCTATATACAAAAAGGGAGACCCCAACATTCTGGCTAGCTATAGGCCTATCTCTTTGGTACCTGTCCTCGGCAAGGTTCTCGAGATAGTAATAAAGGAACAAACCTGCAATTACTTTGAGTCAAACAACCTTTTTAGTGACTCGCAGCACGGTTTTCGGAGGGGCAGGTCTACTACTGGAGCAGTTTCAGTCATTGCTGATGAAATCGCAAACGCTTTTGAAGACAGCGACTCAGTATCTCTTACACTGTGTGATCTGAGTCGAGCGTTCGACTGTGTTCCCCATGGAATCCTTGTTGATAAGCTTTTCGCTTTTGGTGTCAGAGGTAAAGCTCTCTCCATGCTTAGTAGCTACTTAAGTGACAGAAGACAAGTAGTTGACTTAAAGGGTGCAAAATCCGCAGAAAGGGAGGTTCTGCATGGAGTCCCTCAGGGCTCAGTTCTCGGGCCACTTCTCTTCCTGATTGCTATTAACGACTTGGGGTGGCATGGAAATCTTGTGCTGTTTGCTGACGATACTACCTTGTATACCAGAGGGAAAACACCGCTCCTTGCTGAGGAACTGGCGAAAAATTATCTGAAAGATGTGGAGCTGTGGTTCAGGGCAAACAAACTGCAACTAAATGAGACCAAGACAAACTGGTTGACTTGCACTCTGTCACGCACCCCAAACAACATCGGTGGGAGTGTTAAACTATTGGGTTTCTACCTTGACTCAACACTGGACTGGAGCGATCACGTCAAACATGTATGCACAAAGCTGGCTCGTGTCATATTTCTACTGAGGAGATTGAAGAAGTGTGTTACAGATTCCTACCTGGTTATGGTGTACTATGCTATGTTTCATTGTCATATCTCTTATGGCATACATCTCTGGGGACACGCTGCTGGGGCAGCCAGAGTTTTGAAGCTCCAGAAGAAAGCTGTGCGCATTATAACAAGCAGCCATCGCCATGAGCATAGCAAACCCATCTTCAAAAACCTGGGCATCTTGACCATCTATAGCCACTACATATGGGCATGCATGCAGGAAATCAAGAACAATGAACTGGGCCTGGTGGCCAGGGCTGACATTCACAACTACAATACAAGAGGCCGAAATCAACTAGATGTTCCTCGCACTCGCCTCAGTAGAAATAGGGACTCATTCCCTGGAAGCGCCATCCGTTTCTTCAACAAACTCCCAGCTGCCACTAAGACCCTCGCCAGCAGAAAGTTTAAAACCACCACAGGAAATTTTTTCCGTAAAAATCCCTACTTCTCAACAAAGGAATTCCTGGAAGGTAGTTTGAATGAGCTGAAGTAGAACATAGCGACCGCCATGAGTACTAAAATTATGTTTTTTTACATATTTTAAACTTGTGAGTCTTATACATATGTGCGGAAATAAATAAGTAGTTTTTTACGCAGACACAGCCTATTCCCATTATACGATGGGTCAACGGCCAAGAAGATGGTAATAAGGTAATAATAATAATGTAATTAAATCGTCTAAGGACATTTTGTTTGGAACGTTTTCAAGTACCCTAACCTATGTTTTCAAATATTCGAATGCATAAGAATATTTGGGTTAAAAACCATTTGGAGATATTCTAATTTTGAGTCTACAAACCATGAATAATAAGCCTAAACGTTTATTGATGTAACAAATAATTGCAACGCCGTTACTAGCAATAGAGAAGTAGGTTTTCAAGTATAGTAAAACATGGCATAGGCGCTATGGCAGGGGTTAGCCGGTTAGCTCAGAGGCAGAGTTCTCGCTTGTCATGTGGTGGGTCCCTGGTTCAAATCTGCGCCACTCTACTTTTTATTGCATTCATTAAACTTTTACATGTTTTTTACATTAAAATAACAGCTCTAATCAACATCTATTTTTTGATTACTTTGAATAACAAATTCAGACTACCAAAATGGATTTAAAGTAATGTTTTTATGATAAGCAGTTCAGTTCAACGCCCAAAAATCAAATATAGGTCTACAAAATTGTTAGTACATCACAGGGTTTTAGCTATTTAGGGAAGCAAATAATAAGCACCTCAAAAAATACAATGCAACTCCTCTTTAAAATTGCCTTACTATTATTTCCTATTAAAATGTCTTTAAATAAAACCGAGAGCCTTAATTGGGTGTAAAATAATCTGATTAATGTTGCATTGTTGGATACATTTTTGTACATCTTTGTATGCAAAACGGTATGCGGTTTTAATTTGGTTACTCTCAAAGCTTAAAATTATTTTCTCTGTGATAGCTAAATAGTTTATATAACCATGAAATTTAACTCAAGTAAAATTAGACTAAAATTTCACAGAAATTGATAACTCATAATTATAATTATTCTAATAGGGCGATTGTACATACATTATAAAATTCAATTTCACTCATTTTGTACTACGCCACATTTATTGATAGTAATTTATATCTAATAATTATCATTTTAGCACTCACATACCTATTCGTGAGCCAATTCGCACTAGCAAAAATAACTTAATAAATTCATTTTTTTATGATGTGAGTAATGAAGGGTAACTCTCTTTCCAAAAATACTAGTCTACTTCAAATAATACGGGTGAAGAGAGGTTGGTAGAAAATAGCAAGTATTTACTAGTGTAATTTACAAGAGTAAAACTTTATGAAACACATTGCTGTCTACACTAGTAAAAACCACTAGTAATACTAGTCCCTACACTAGTAACTAGTATTTAACACTAGTAGGTTTTTGAAACGTAGACTTGTAAAATACACTAGTATTACTAGTCCATGGACTAGTAAATACTAGACTAGTATTTTTATGAAACAGGGCCCTGGTGAATGTGACGGTCTGAAAGACTTTGGATTGGAATCGGTTCGATTTGTTTTTGAGAATTTGCCCGTTTGACTAAAGGTCGAGTTATTCTTTTTAGTTTGGTTTAGATTTGATCAAGAATCATCTTGAGCAAATTATCGAAGGTTTCAAACCCAAGTTTCCTTGTGCCTGGAGGTTAGGACAGGCCTAGACCTACAACTACGCTACACTGTTGCCGGGCTGGTAAGTAAATAATACTCCCTTATAAACCGTTCTTAGTATTGTTATTAAGTACCATGCCTATTATTCTTATGATCCATTTACTTACTTTTCTTATTGGCTGTTCCTTTTGTTTTTCCTACAAATTTTTATTTAGATAACTTAATTTCAAAAGGGGCAGTAAGTTAAAAGTTTTTTTAGCGAATTTCCCATATAGGGAATAAGCTATTACCGTAGTACTCATGGTGAGACCTGGACCCGGGACCGATTTTTTTTTTCGTTTTGAGGTCCCTAGAGGCCAAAAACACCATCCGTTCAAATTCATATATATATATATATATATGTGTGTCCGTTAGCGCGATAACTCGAGCAAAAATGATCCGATTTTGATGAAATTTGGTACAAACGTGTAAACCTACGTTTATTCGAACGAGTTCGCGAACCAGCATGATCGGACCATGGGAACAGGGGTTTATGGGGGCTTTTATGGGGTAAAAATAGGTTTTTCCCATTTTTGACCCAAAAAACATAAAATTTTGAAATTTCTTTCCAAACTATTTTGTAGAGCTTAAAAAAACAAATAATTTAGTACATTGAAGCGTTATAATGCACCTAATGGTTACGGAGAAAATTCCAAAAAAATGTTAATTTAAAATTCCCATGTTATTCTTATGGAGAATAAGTAGGCCTAAACCGTTGTAGTGTGCTTGTTTATTAACATATTTTGCCCAAATTTGGAAAATGTTTTTATTTCTTACTAACTATTAACATTTTACATAAAAAAACACTTTTACCCTCTCTGTTGCAGCAAACCTAAGTATGTGTTAAACTGATTCTATTTAAATAGGGAATAAATGTGATATTTTTAAGGAGACATTTTAGTCTAAATCAAATCAGGCAAATGGAAATTCGCTTAGTCTGCAGGTTTGCTGCGACGGGGTCATTTTACTGATTAACTTAGGCCTAAGTTATGTAACTTAAGATTTTGCCACACAAATTTTTGAACATGGTTTGGTTTTGTTTCCACTTGCTGTGAGATTATTGTACATAGGCCTATTTTATATTTTTGATGGCTAGGGCCTAGGCTTATTGCATGTGCATATATAGGCTACTCATGGATAATAATGGCTGAATTTTCTAATCTTTTTTTAAAAATGTCAGTATAATAAACACAACAGCAATTTATTTGTGTTTTCCTGGCCTGGGGGGGATCTCCCCTTGATTGAGAGTTGGCCCCTGCCTCAATGAATGGTTCAATTTATTTTAGAATCTGTTATGCAGCTCGTAGGATCATTTGTCTGTTTTGTAGCAGAGCTGTTACTAAGAGACCCGTCAAAAAAAAATTGAGAATATGGTAAGGTAGACTTTATTTTTTACTGTGTAGGACTAGGCCTACATTATTTCCGAGTTGCATCTCTGATCACACTTTTTGTTTATTCATTACTGGTACCGTTAGATATTAAATAGATGTTGGTAAATTCCATGAGTTAAGGTAAGTTAAGGGTAAGTTATGGATAAGTTAAGGTAGGTTATAAATAAGTATTTACCTACCATATCCTTTATTACAGGGTGTCCAGCTTCAACAATAACAAACTTTGGCCTACTGTACCTTAGATTATTTGGGAGGTCAAAAAAAGCGAAAAATGCCATACAACATGTGTCCTATTTTGAACTCGTTAACAAGTCTGTATATGTGTTTTTTACAAATATATTCATATCCTCAACAGTTTGAGCTACAGGGGTTGAACGCTAAACGGTTCAAGATAGGACACATGCCTTGTTGCGTGATTTTAATTGTTTTGACCTCCCGAATAATCTGGTTAAGTTTATCCTACTTGAAGCTAGAAAGCCTGCATATGTGTTCCAAGGATGAAGAAAACAAATTTGGCAGTTATGTAATAAAATCAGCTGGGATTAAACTTAAGGGGGTCCTAACAAGAAATGACTGTTCCTAAATTTAACATGATAACCATAAATAATTGATACCGGGCGGTAGTCAGAACATAAGTATTATTACCTAGGCTATGTAAGAAAATTATAGTTTTGTCTAAAAGTGATTTAATATTGTGGTTGTTGTTTTCAGATTCAAAAATATTGTGACCAAACCCTGAGTACAACATGGCTGGCAAGATGAACTTGAAGAAACCAGATGCTCAGGCCATTAACATTCAGTCATATATTAGAGTGAGGTAAGTCATGAAAAACCAATAATTTAATAATTTGTATACAAATTTTAATCCTTTTTTGCAATCTTTGAGTAAATTCTTATTTTTGTGTGAAGTAAGCATTTTACTGATGTCGCCTCGTAAAATAAACCAAGCTTGGGGGAATCTGTGTGATTTTGCACAAAATATAAACTGCCATATCTCTTCTTTTTTTCATGAGCCCCTTTAGCCTACGTATATATAGCCTATATATATATACAGGGTGCGGCAAAAGTCAGCGTACCGAAAATGCAGCTAAACTACAGCTGGTATTAAACATAGCTATAACAGTAGGCCTATTATTGTAAGTACATGTTAGAGAAGCTGTTTAAAGTAAACACCCCCATTGTCTAAACACATGTAGCACCTATTCAACACTGATTTGCAAATTCTTTTACATAAGCCTAGTTGTGAGTAAATAACATCATCAATTCTTTTAAATGTTCTAAACTTGAGGTTTCTCCGAAAACATGTTAGTAGGTTGTGTTCCAGGAAACTGTTGTAAACACTGATGTATGGAAGTTGATAGAACAAGCACTACACTAGACTTCACGGTCACAGGCGGAATAGTGACCAGACAAAAAATCCTCGATAAAGATAAAACTAAAACAAAATAAAAATAACTTGACGTTAGATAAAGTTTCTGTAATTTATAATGAGAGTGGGCTAGCCTGTCATTTGTTTTTTGTAGTTAATCAAATTTCACTAATTTATTCATAACTGGTTTCAGACCACTTTCTTCAAAGGAAAAGAAAGCCAATGTCCTCGAGTTTGGCAAGAAAGAAGTGACCATCAAAAGTGGTGCTGAAAGTTCTAAGTTGAACAAAACACTGTTGTACGATCGTGTTTTTGATGAGCAATCAAAACAGGTAAATAATATAAAGTTTGATTTCCTATGTACTGACCCTATATTTAGCTCCAATGGCCAACCAATACAGTAGGTATATATCTTAAATGCAAGTTTACAAGTTTACAATTACCTGAGTTAGTATAACAAAAAAACATTGCCTATAGGCCTACCAGTACCTAGACAATAGACAATAGACAATAGACAAATAATCTTTATTTACACATTCATTAAGAATAGTAGTAGCGTCAATTTACAATTTTTTCTAAATGTTTGGTTGAGGTGTTGTTTAGTCAAAGACCAATACTTGTTACCTACCTGCCTGACATGTGCTGCAACTTAAATAAAAAAATAATAATACCAATCTGACATACTGTACATTCTCTCATTAGCTTGTCAACAACCCTTTTCATGGGTAAGCGGTGTGAGGACTATGACCTCTTATGGCAGAAAATCACAAAAAGTTGCAATAAGTTCTGAACCGTAATTTTACAGAAATAGAGGTTGTAGCCTACTGTTTTAAGTCAAATACCCCCGCCGCAGCAAACCTGCCGACTAAGCGAATTTCGATTTGTCTGAATTGATTTTCAGTTAAATATATTTTAATAACATTAGGTTTAACAAGTAGGTACCTAGGTTTGCTGCTACAAGGAAACTAATAAAGTGTGTTTTTGAGTAAAATATTGATAGCTTAGTAGAAAATAAATAAATTTGCCAAGTTTGATTAAATATATATTCATAAACAAGAAAACTACAACATTTGACAATATTCTCCATAAGAATAACATGGGAATTTTAAATTTACAATTTTCTCCGTTACTAATAATCGAACAAAAATACTTTTATATACTAAATTATTTGTTTTTTTAAGCTCTTTAAAAAGGTCTAAAGAGAAATTGGGAAATTTTGTGTTTTGAGGGTCAAAAGTGAGAAAAACCAATTTTTACCCCATAAAACCCCCCGTAAAGCCCCGTTCCCATGGTTCGGTCGTGCTGGTTCGCGAACTCATTCAAGTTTATCCCGCTTTACACCTTTAAACCAAATTTCATCAAAATCGGACAAAAATTACTCAAGTTATCGCGTTCACGGACGTATATATATATATATAAGTCTATATATATATATATATATATATATATACATATATAAAAATTTGAACGAATAGTGTTTTTGGCCTCTGGGGACATCAAAATGAAAAAGTAAATCGGTCCCGGGTCTAGGTCTTACCGTGCCACCTACGGTAATAGCTACTTCCCTATAGGGAAATTCGCTAAAAAAAGACTAAGTTATTACATGCTAAATTTGAATAAAAACTGGCCAAGCAGTTGTTAAACCGATTGTATGTTGTTTTTATTACTTTAGCAAGTCTGGATGCATCCTACCACTAATATTTATACCGGCAGTGAGATATTTAAGCTTGCTGATTTTCGCAGATTGTCATTTACAATGCGGTTGTAAAGCCGATGATCAAAGAAGTGCTTCAGGGCTACAACTGTACAGTGTTTGCCTACGGCCAGACTGGAACTGGGAAAACTTACACCATGACGGGGGACCAGGACCCTGATGCATGTTGGGAAGAGGTAAGTTAAGTCATAGATAAAAGATAGTAGATTTGTCATCCTTATGGAACAGCTGTAGCCAATTTGATTGTTAGTTCTGTACGTCCAACTAATGATGATGTAAATATGTTTTGTGTTGATTTGTTTATTAGTCCATTTGAGTTTAACAAAATATCGAACCATTTGCTGATTTACAATCTATTGCTGTTGATGATGAACCGTAATGGATTGGAAACATTTCCAGCATAAAGACTCAATGTTTTTCACACCAGACTCAATGTAGCCTATTTATGTAACATTTTTTGCTTACAAAAATAACTGCAAAAAATTAAGTTCTCAAAGAAAAAAAAAATTTGATCTCTAACCAACGAGTAATTACACTCATTTGTTACTGTAGAGCGTCCACGCAGGAATTGTCCCGAGAGCCATGCACGACTTGTTCCATGAACTTTCCATTCAAGCGTGTGAATACCAAGTGTCGGTGTCGTACATGGAATTGTACAATGAAAGGTTGCGAAGTCTCCTTAAGGATAATGAAGAAACAGACCTTAAGTAAGTATTGTGGAACATTGTGGTAAAGTAGTCAGGGGATGGATGTCTGCAGAAAGCAGCAGGGAAAATGAATCCAAATACTCTACTAAAGATTTTTTGTTAGGAAGCAGGCTTACCTGAATGGGAAAGAGTCCGAACAGGCAAAAGGGATAGCAAACTTTACACTGTAAACACAAAAAATTTGAATATTTCACTGTCACTGACAGCACTTTCAACAGTTTCAACTAAGGAAGAAAGAGTTTTCTTCAGGTCCAATGGTGACGGGGAGTTGTTAAGACACACAGCCTTTTTTTACCTTGTTAGTCTCAACAACTCCCCGGCCACCATTTTATACCTGAAGAAAACTCTCTTTCTTAGTTGAAAGTGCTGTCAGTGGCAGTGAATTTAATGTTTTTTGTAGTGTTACGTCTAGTGTGCCAGTTTGGACTCTTCCCATTCAAGTAAGCCTGCTATCCTCACAAACATTTCTTAAAATTTTTAAATTGGCCCTTGTGTTCTACGGTACATTCTTAACAACTTAAGTTTATTTAGGTTTCGGAGTGTTCAATCTAGTTGGTTGCCGGTTCGATCATGAGAAAAGTCAGTTTATCAATAATCTTTAAATAGTTCTAAACCGGATCTAGATGTTCTTGATTATTGGACTTTTTAATAAATGATCCTAAAGTGGATATTCTAGATAATTAGACATTAATGCGTCTTTATAATAATTGTGACTCTGTCTATTACATGTATATTCATTATTCAATAAAACGATTCTATTCAGACAGCAAAATGGCCACCATTTTTGGACTTGTAATTTACAGTACTTTCAAGTTTCAATGTTAGAAATTTACAAATAAAAACTGTAGCAGTATCAACCTCTGGATAAATGGGTTTTGGTTGATCGTTTGATTACCGTGGTTCTAAAGTTTGAAAAGGTTTCTGTGGCTTCACGTTTTAACTGTACATGATCTGAAACGCAAAATAAAATATGTATATAGATTTGCATGCATATTATCCAAAAAGAACATGTCAGGTGTTTCTGGAAATGTAAAGTACAAGTGACTTTTTTTATGGAGGAGCACGTCTTTGGATTTTGTTTAGGACGGGGAAGTTAGTTTTCGGTTTTCGATAAACACTATTAGCCTGTGGATAATGGTCCATTCACGTACAGCGTTTCATTCATTCTCTTTCAATGCTTTCGAGCCTTTAAAAATTCCGAACACAAAAAAAAGTTCATGAATGTTGCTGCAATCTGGAGAGATGATCACAATGTTTTTTTTTTTTTTTAAAGAGGTTGGCGGCCTCTTTTAACCTTGCATTTGCCCGTCCACATAGACTACAGATCTGTGCGTGGAACGTATCCAGCAAAGCAAGGGGTGAGCCGGTACAGTACAAAGGTGAACTGTACTGATAAAAGTTTGTGGCAGTGACCAGGATCCGAACCCACGACACTTCTGCCTTGGGCCCAAAGTCCGTGACGCTACCAACTGAGCCACCGACTCACCACAATGTTGCAATGACCATCTCCCATGATCGTAGATGTTGCAACAAACACTGAAGATGTGTTTTGATTTTTAATTTCCTTGCCTTCTCTCTTTATTAAGGCTTTGGGTACATTCAAATAGTAGCATGTACAATTTGCTGGATTTCACACACAGTGTTTTTACTTCCAGACTGATTGACGATTTGGAAGGAGGAGTGATTGTGAAAGGTCTTTTGCCAACACCTGTCAAAAGCAAAGAGGAGGTGTTTAAACTCCTTCAGCATGGAGCGGAGAAGAGACAGGTGGCTGCGACTCAGATGAACCTCAACTCAAGGTAAGATACAAGTCAGTTTTTGTTAATGATTAAAATTTAATGAAGTTCATAATTTGTATCACACTATGCTTTTGTAGTACAAAGGAACTTCCATAAGACCCTCAATCACAAGTCACTCATGATAACAAGTGTCATTTTAGATGCTCTTGATTTTTACCACCCCTAACTTACTGCAAAACTTGATAAGAAGTCTACCTTGATAACAAGTCATATTTGACAATCCCCAATCCCCATGATAGACTTGTTACAGATGTACAGTACTACTGTAATAGGAAAGTTTATCTTGATGGTAATTATTGATTCTTAATTGAAATAAATCAAGCTTTATAGATGCTTTTAGGGTGATATGAGCTTGATACCAGTGTAAAAAAAAACTTAAATTATTCTAATATGATCTTTTGTTGCAATTCATATAAGTACGTTTGAAATTCATTGTTGATGATGGTGAGTTAATGTTGTTCAAATCATATAAGTAATCTCATGATCCTATTATGCTGATCGGTTTGATTTGCTTCTAACATATGATGGAATGTTTCAGCCGATCACACACAATTTTTACGATCAACGTGAATATCAAGGAGAGTGCAGTTGCTGGCAAAGATGATGTACTGCGATGTGGCAAACTCCACCTCGTGGATTTGGCTGGAAGTGAAAACGTGTCCAAGTCCGGAGCCAGCGAAAACATACACAAATCTGCAACGGGGGTTAACAAGAGACTTGCAGAGGCTTCAAACATAAACAAGTCTCTGTTGACGTTAGGCCGAGTCATAACATGCTTGACGGAGAACAACCCACACATCCCTTACAGGTACAAATATTCAGAATGCAACCTAAGCTTAAGAAAGTAAGTGCTTCTCGCAAAAAGTTAACCATTTGTGCTTAAAAGCATGAAAAAGAAAAATACATCTTGAGTAATCAGCAAATAATAATTATTTCTTGGTTATAGAACTCTAAAAACATTAACATTTCCACTATATTTCATGGATTTAATTTTATAAACTTCAATAAACAATTAAGGATATCGGTGTGTGAAGGATTTTCTTGTTTATAGAGAGTCAAAACTGACAAGGTTTTTACAAGACTCGCTTGGTGGCAAGACTAAGACCTGCATCATCGGAACAATATCTCCAGCGCAGGCCAACCTGGATGAAACGGAGAGCACACTGAACTATGCTTCCAAAGCGAGATCCATCAAGAACAAGCCAGTGAGAAACCAGACCATCTCCAAGAAGGACTTTATGCAGGTGAAACTTTATAAAACTTTATTTTGCTTCACACTTTTTCTGCAACATTTTTTTTCAAAGTAGGGCCTACAGTCTTTATTGTAAAGCTGTGCTTAACTAATTTCAAGCAGTTTCTGGGTATACCCTTCATGTAGTCTTCAACAGACCTGTTCTCGCTTGTTACACTTACTTTGTTTTGATAGGTTGCGTCTGAAGAAATAATGAAGCTCAAAAAAGACCTGGAAGCTGTCAGGCAAGGAGAGGGGTTCTATATCTCTAAAGAGTCTCATGAAGAAATGATAAGCCGAATGAAAGAGCTGGACGACCAAGTGAAAGACTCACATGAAAAATATTCACGAATCAAAGAGTCGTACGAACAATCAAAGGTAATTAAAATAACATAACAATTAAATTCAAAAGTGTAGTATTCTGTTTTTCTACCAAAATTTTTTCTGAGATTGAAAAAAGTTTTTTTTCAATTTTTAATATATGTAATTCTTTACTGTGGTAATTCCATTTTAAATTATTGTCTCGTAAATCCTGAAAATCCGCTTCTTGCAGGAAGGACGTTCAAAGATGGTGTTGATAACGGAATGGTTGACTCTTTGAACTTGTTTAACGCAGTAGAAGATACATATTTTAGTTTTAGTCCTTTAAAACCATTCTTTATTATCCAAAACCTGATATTGTGACCAGAGAAAAAGATTTTTAGTGGCAAATCAACTGTTGAGTCCTAAGACCCATTTGTTTGGAAATTCAAAGCTGTCAATTTAAATTAATATAAGTTAAATCTCTTAATTTAACTGTGTTTGCAGGAAATAGCCTGCACACTATTATCCTTATATATAATACGTGAAGGTGATTTCTACAAAACACTACTCCTCCGTTAATAATGAAAGTATTTTTTGTGTAGACGCCCCATTTCACCAATTCCTGTTATAAGGCCCGGCGCATATTGAGACGCAGTCGGAGCAGCGCAGCGTAGTGCAGCGCAGGGCAGTGTTTTGTAAACCATGTATTTGCTAGGACACGCGCATATTATGGCGCAGCGCAGCGCAGGGCAGTGCAGTCCCGCACGTGGACTGCGCGCACTTGTGGTCGAGTCACAAGTGTCTGTGCCGCATTGCTCACCTGCGCCGGGTTGACTAGTGTTTTGTGACGGATCTAGAGGATAATTAATAGAAATTGTGCGTTTTTATCAATTTTTTACGTTACCATTCATAGTAAGTATATAAAGAGTAATTACAGGAGTGAAATCTGGGAGAAAATACGAAAATCACTAAACATTGCAAATTTTTCGCCCTTTCTTTCTTGTTCTAAGAAACAATAAATCTAAATCAGCACCTGAATCTGACTCATAACTCAAATCCTAATATTTAACAACGTGTTCACACAAGAAACTGTGTCACTCCTATACGAAAACTGTACGACTCTGCTTCCCAATATGCGATGTCAACTGTGCAACACAGACTTTTTGCCCAATTCTGCCCTGTGCTGTGCTGCACTGCCCGGATCGTGCCGCACAGCTCAATATGCGCCTGGGCTAAAAGTCCTCGGGCTTGAACTCAGAGTGAGTTCGTTTTCAGTTTCGGAAACTGGAGTGGAGTGGTTGATTACATTATCGTGGAGTTGACTCTTTTACATCGGAAATTATATGACTGTCAGGATTATTCGTTTTGAAATAACGCCTGTAATACTAACTATGCAATTGCTTGAATTCGAGCAACAGGTGCACTAGTTTTTATAATATTTGTATTAGTACTCATAGCTCGATTTAATACAGTATTTTTGCTCTAGGAAATGTTCAGTTCCTTAAGCTCCGACTTTGACGACAAGTGTGCCGAATATGAAGAGCTTGATAATCTGTTCAGAATCGAAAGCCAAAGATGTCAAGAGAAGATGAAAGAATTCGCAAAGGAAGTCGTTGTCAGGGAATATTTTATCAAAGAATATGAAAAGACCGAAGGCAGTCTGACAGAGCAAGCAAAAACTTGCAAGTCTGTGCTGGAAAACCTCTTAGACCAGAGCAATCGATTGCACGACAAAATTGATAGAAAGCAGTAAGTAAATATTTGTCCAAATCATCCTCTGTGTTTGTTATCAGAGAAAAATTATGCAGATGAAACGTGATTGAAGACGTTATAATAATTTAAACCTCATGTTATATTTTTATTGCAGTCACCCATTTATTTCAGCCTATCATTTAATATAGTGAATGTCAGATGGTTTAAACGTCAAAGAATATTAAAGAAAATTTCAATTAGACAAGTTTGGTAATAATGAAATGGGCTTGAAAATAGAAAAACTAAAATTGATCAACTTTATTGTAAACATTAGGTCTAGTATGTTTTTACAGTAAGAATAAATGTTTTAAGTTTTGTTTAGCCTTGATAAGACATTGTTGCTATATTTGAAAATCGTATATTTACTTGATTTAGTTCTTTTTAGGTATAATGTATGAAATTTCAATTTTTCCTATAAATTGCAAACTTGTTGTGCTTCACAGGTCTAACGAGTCAGACAACCTGCAGATGTTGGGTCGCTACAAGGAAAATGCTAGCAAGAAGGTTGCGGACTTCAAAAGCAAGCTTGATTCGTTCCTTGACGAAGAAAAGCAGTTTGTGAAAGAAGTTATCAAAAATGCCAGTAAGCTTTGTGATCTGTTTTTGTGATGAAGTATCAGAGTTAAATTTATAAGCTAGATGAAATCTACATTTATCTTCAATATTATATGCTCTCTTAAAAAACTCCACATGAAAACGTAAATGGGTACATTTTGTTTGAATACTTGACATACAAATCGATTAACAATACAATTATAAATTCTTTTTGAGACTGATCAGCAAAGCGCATTTGATACCAAGAACCCATTAAAATCTTTGTAAATTAGTATCAATAAGATGGAGCCTAAGTTTTTAAGTTATCAATTGATTTTGTTTAAGGTACTGTGAACAGATTATTTGAAGAAGAGAACCATAATGTTTTATCAACCATTAAATCTTTTGAACACCAGATGAAAGCCCTTGCACAGTCGAGGAATGAAACACTTCACAATAAGGTATGTATTGAAATACTTCTTGTTCATCTTCATCCTAGTATAGGGTGTCTACAGCTCTCTGAACCTCTTCTTCAAGATAAGACCCCAATTTCAGATCACAGATGTCCTGAAACCCCTACAGAATTTTATAATGTATCCCAGATTTTTTAATATATTTTTTTATAAAAGAAGTAATCATTTTGGTAAACTACAACATTTTTATGTTCTGTAAAATTTTGTTGTTGAAAGTTTGAGCACAATTACTGGGGTTACAAGCTGGAGGTTTTGCTGTTACTGTGATGTGCAAAGTCAACGAACTTTTGTCTTGTCAGCTGATAACACGTGTTTTGTTGTAATATGACTAATATGTATGTATATGTTTAATTTACTACCACATAGGTAAACGTAAGAAAATTTGCCACTGTAGCGTAAAGCATAATAAATAGCTAACCAGACCTGAATTTCCCCAATTTTTGTATGTTAAGGTTGTGCCACAGAGTACAGAGGCCTAGACTATTTGAATATTTAGTGAGGGTAGCATGTGGTACACACGGCTACATTTTGGGTGAATTGGTCATGTGAATGATTACCATAACCAAACTGTTCGTGTTGGAAACGAAAACTGGCCTCATTTATTCAACCTGAGGAGACAATTTACCGCTAGTCACTGGCCCAAAAAGCCAGCTTTGATGATTTAACCCATTAAATATTAATAAATAATAACCCATTAAATACAGAAATATTAATATTACAATAATGACACGGGAAATTAGATGAACATTTTTGACTACATGACCTGAAAACAATTATGTGAATTCAGAATAATTACATTACTAACACCTAACACCATAACTAATGTGGGGTCCTTACCCCCTGTCCCTAGCGTCCTAGCACGTACGCATGTTGGATGTTCGATGGCAGCGGCAAGACAAAACTTCTAGTCATCTCTCGTCGTCTCCTCGCTCTCGCGCATGCGCTAGCACTCACGTGACCTGAAGAGTGCCTTCTTACTGGGACATTTTAATTGTTGAGGTTAAGCTCCACAGGTAGCAGGCTTACCTGAATGGAAAAGAGTCCAAACTGGCACAAGATACACAAAACTACACCATATACACAAAACATTAGAATATTTCACTGTCACTTACAGCATTTTCAACTAAGGAAGAGAGAGTTTTCTGGCCTAATGGACCATAGTAGTTATTATGGACCAGTAGGCCTGAAACCTCTCTTCTTAGTTTAAAATGCTGTCAGTGACAGTGACATAGTCCCATGTTTGTGCATATAGTGTAAAGATTGTGTTTCATGTGCCAGTTTGGAGTTTGTAAGGTAGTTAAGGAGACTCCCTGTAGATATACGATGGCAGGTGACTATGAAAGTCATATGTATATTTTACATTGATCTTTTTAGTTAATAGTTTTTAAGGTGTCGTTTTTTGTTTCGTTCCAGCAAACGGAGTTTACTGGTCAAGTCAATTCTTGCAAGTCACGAGGGGAGGAAATAATACAACACTCGGTTAACCTTTACAAAGACGTGATCAAGTCACATATTCTGCCCTCGATGAAGAACATTCAAGATCAGCTGAATCTCATCACCAAAATCACTGAGGAGGGAAGCAATAATCTCGCCAGGGTAGAAACAAAAACTGAATTTACTTATTTATCATTACTGGTCAAAATATCTAGTTTAATCTGTTGTTAACTCTTTGACTTTGTGCTATCACTGTCAGAAATTTGTTTTAGGCAATTTAGTTGTGTATCTCTTAAGTAATGTATACCTAACTATGTGCTTCTCTGAAAATTATCTATATCTGATTCTGATACCACTGAAATAAATATTTTACAATTTAAAACTGATATTATGTTGTCTGTTTTATTTGATTTTTAAATCAAATCATATCATTGTGACATAATTCTGAATCAGATAGAAAGTATTTCCTGTGTATTTATTTACTTAATTACAAGTGTAAATATGTTTTCAGTTCGAAACCAGACAGAAGAAGATCTCTGAAATCACAGAGAACCATGTGTCGTTAATGCAGTTTTCCACTAAAATTGTTGATCAAGTTGAAGCTATAAGACGTAAAAATAAAGAAGTTGTTGCTAAACCGATCATAATCAACAACCTTGTCGACCAGTTCAACAAAGTGAGTGTGGAGTTTTAAGTATTTTATTACTATCATCAATTGGTATCAAAACACAAGGGAGTTTTTCACAAACTCCAATGACGTTAATTTAATAAGCAGCGCGTTTCACAAGCTCCAAAATTCACCAAATACAGTCCCGGCCAGAAGTTGCTGCAGGGGTTTCCACGGTCACATTGCAGGCACTGTCCGCCATGGTTAGGTTAGGTTGGGTTGGATTAGGTTTTCAATTCTACATTCTTTACAAAGCATTAACAGACCAACAATTTTGTTTTGCGGCGCGTGGCTTACACCGTATATTGTGTGGAGTCTGATATCTGACCGTGGCAACTGCTGGCCAGGACTGTTCTTTTGATATATGTGAATTTTGGAGCTTGTGGAACGATAATTATTTAACATTTTTTTTTTTTTGCTATTGGACTTGGTGAAATTTGGAGTTTGTCAATCGCTCTGTTTATTAAAATATTTTTTTTTTTTAGAGTTGGCAAAATTTGGAGTTCTTGAACTTCACCCAAACGCAACTGGGTGTATTTTAGCCCATCTGTCATGTGGATGTGATCGAGATTCCTCTATAGGCCTATACCAGTATGGTATAGACAATACTGCCACTGGTCTATAATTTAAAACATTAACATTTTTTGCCACTTTTAAAAATTTACTTTAGTTTTCCATTTTTTTGTTTAAATTGTTAAAAAATTCTAAGGGTTTAACTAAAAGCTTGGAACAGCCTGTAACGGTAAAAATATTACGAGATCAGAAAGCGAGCGTTCAGACGATTTCAAATGTCCCGCGCAAGGTCATTAGTTCTCCGAGCGGTCACGTACTGCGCTAGCGTCGCGATCCCTATAAAAGCCGCGCAGGACACGGGACAGTCGGACTTGAGTGCTGGGCGAATAGCTAGCAACATCTCCCTGGTAGGGCGAGGGCGGAATAGCCCGGTAATAACCAGTGGTGGAATAACCCTGGAAGCGTCGAATACTAGGGTTAGGCTGAGGGCGGAATAGCTCTCTGGCCCGCGGATATAACGAGACGATAGGTCGAGGGCGGAATAGCCCGGTAATAACCAGTGGTGGAATAACCCTGGAAGCGTCAAATACTAGGGTTAGGCCGAGGGCGGAAAAGCTCTCGGATCCGCGCATATACACCGCGAAACCGTAGGTCGAGGGCGGAATAGCCTGGTAATTAGCCAGTGGTGAAATAACTCTGGTGTCGTCGAATAGTAGGTGTTAGGCCAGGGCGAAATAGCTCGTGGACCCGCGACAATCGATTCGGTTAATTGTAAGTATAGTTGGTTTTAATTCCAAAAGTGAAACACGGTATATCCATTAAGTAGAGGTTTGTTTTTATTTTCGAAGTTAAGATTTTAGTTAATTACGACCAGTGTTTCACTCACAGAATTAACGCCAAATTACTAATTTGTTTAAATTAAGGCCTAACCCGGGCAGTGATGAATGTGTCATTTACTGAAAGCTGATGCTTTAACGACCATATCTGAGCCCATATTTTAAAAACTAAATACTATTATTATTACCACTAACCCTGGACTAACTCAATTAGATTAGCTATCCGAGGCCGACAGTACAATTTTGTCCCAGGACGAAATTGCACCGTCACAAGCCTTTGAACAAATATTTTAGAAGCTAATCTGGACCATTGTGCATTTTAATGGGAGAAAGTGAGTTATTAAAAAAAAATGTTTCTAAACCATTGGTGAGTGATTTATAGCGTGTGGCAACTACCACTAACCTTTCTTTTTTTCAGAATATCAAGCAAGTGATGTCAATCCTGACAGCCGCACAAGGCAGTTGTGCATCTATCAAGTCTGAATCCGCCTCAGTGTTGGCGGGCGCAACAGCCACAGAGGAGGGAGCGGAATCTTTGAAAGAAACAGCTATGTCTAATCTGCAGATACTCGGATCTATCCAATCAAACGTTGAGGAAGTGAAAACAGTTAGTGAACAACAATCAGAACAGGAGAAGACTCTATCGAGCGAGGTAAGCTCAGTAGTAGGCTGCAGCGAACCTTCAAAACCAGAATTACTTGAGAGGTTTGGATTGCTTTCCCAAAAAACGTTTGTGTTTCCTTCTCATGAATTTCCGCTGGTATGGACACTATATTTAAATTAGGGGTGTGTTGATTCTCGATACCACCTGATACTCAGACGTTGGTGTTGGTATCAAGAATCGATCGTCAAAAGTCGATACCAATACCATACCTGTCATGGTATTACCGCTATTGTTGCGAATGCGCAAGATGACAACAACGTTTCTGTGACTGGGAGAGACAATGATGATGTCTACACAGCCGCAGGTGATATTAATGATTCCGTCGTGATCGCGGAAGACTACGATGATATGAAATAAATAAATTAGCCAAATTTTATTAAAATACATCCATAAACAAGCAAACTATTTACTTTCTCTATAAGAATAAAATGGGCAAATGTATATCTTTTCTCTGTAGTATTTCATTGTACAACAACGCTTCAGTTCACAAAACTATATTTTATAGAAATCGGTTGGTGGTCTAGATCTTACCTTGCTACATGCGGTTTAATATATCTCAAGCATAATTGATAAGATTGACAAAATTTAAAATATGTACTCTATTATCACAAACTGCAATGAGTTTAATTTTTCTGGTAAACAAATTTTGTTTTAGGTGATTCAGATAATTGGGAGTTTGGACAATTTATTTCTACTTTACCATCAATTTTGAACGGTACTTAAGTAGACTTAGGATACGGAACTCTTTACTATCAAACTCACTGAGAAATTATACTGATGTAGGAACTAGGAACATTAACCCTTCCCGGACGGGCAAAATCGTGACATAGAACGGGGAAAAATTATAGGAAAAAATAAAAATTAATTTTCCTCATTTGTGTTTTGTTATACAAGTATACATAAAATAAACACAATGGAACACTTCATACTGTCAAAATAATTTTTTACTCGGTTTTAACTAGACGGATATATCCGCTACTGCTGCGGATGAGTAGAAAAGCAGCGGATATATCCGCCACCCGTCTTTGAAGATATGACCATGACAACGTTAGGCAACAAATAAAGAACAACATGTAAACAATAAATAACGACAACGTAGTGTTGAGCGCAAAACGTCGAGGGGGGAGCGTTGGAGAGGGGTAGGTGCGGGAGAGGGTAGGCGCGGGAGAGGGTAGGCGCGGGAGAGAGGGGGGAGTGTGGGAGAGAGCGCAGCCATGGAGAGGGCAGGAAAGTGGTGCCTTGGTACCGCAAAACATCTGGTTAATGCTCAAGCACTTGCCAGTCTGTCTGAAGAGAAGGCGGATATATCAGCTTCCCGTCCGGAACATCAAAAACCATAAGCGGATATATCCGTCACCCGTCCTTTACCATCAAAGACTTAGGCGGATATATCCGTCACCCGTCCGGGAAGGGTTAAGCAAATATAGGGGTTGGTACTATCATAAGACTTACAGGGCTGCAGAACTATTATTTTTTTAAACTAACAAAAAACTCATTTGTTAATTTGTTACAGATCAAAGAAAATGTTGATAGTTTAGTGAATGAAGTAAACACACATGTTGAACATATTGAGAATGGAGTCAAGCAGAACATAGAGCAAGTACAAGTACTATGTGGAAAACAACAACAAAACCTCTCACGACTGGAAAACAGTGTTAGCGTATTTACAGAACAAGTGTCTCAAACTGTTGTGGTAAGTTTACTTTTGTATCATGTTATTTTGTACTATGAATTTTATTTAGGTTTAGGTAACGCATGAAAGAATAGAAGTATAAGAATTGTCTACTGAAACAATAAGTGTCGTAAAACTGTATTTATATTCAAGTTAAGGATATGAAATAGAGCATATAGGCCTATGTTTTCTAAATGAGAAAATTATATCTATATTCATTAATAAAAAAGTCCTAAGTGAGCACTATTCCAGGACTGTAGGTATCCCTTGTATATTTTAAATTCAGTTTTATATAAAAAAGCTTAGGTATGTAAAGAATTGGACTTTAAAAACTGTGCAACAAAACTTAGTAATAGGTTTTTGGGATTTTTGTGTGGATAGCAGGCTTATCTTCCTTAATTAGAATTGTTGCCTGTAAAATATTTTTATTTTGTTTAAAGTTTTTTTTTTAAGTTATGTGTGTCTTGTTCCAGTTTGTACTCTTTCCCATTCTGGTAAGCCTATCATCACAAATTCAAAAAAAGTTTAGCTTTATTTAAATTTTACAAATCCATATATAAATCCCAAAGTACCCATGAACCTTTTAGGAAACTAAAAGTCACACCCCCATAAACACTTAAAATGTTTGTCATGACGAGAAACCTTGTGCAAACCCCGGTCTCACAACCCCATGGGAATTTTCACAAACGTATGTTGGCAACACTGTTTACTTGGAGGATTCCATTCCCCCAACCCCTTTTCCTTCCCTACCTGTTGATATATTGTTTGTTCATCATTTTGTGTGGGTGCCGACACCTTGACAGGTTGTCTGTTCATAACATGCCCGTCTCAGAAGCCCAGTGTTAGTGTATTTTATTTAAAGCAGGGTCTCACAGGCCCAGTGTTTCGGTTTGTGTTTCTAAGCGGGGTCCATTATTTTCAAATGGGGTCTCACAGACCGGATGTTTCGGTTAGCGTCAGTCTGGGTAGGGTTTCAGGATTAGTGTTAAGATCGTAATTCCTTTCTAAAAGGGTGATTATTTGTTTGTACTGTATTCTGTTATGTTTATTTCAGCTTAAGGGGATTCGCCACTGAAAAGGGTGAATTTTTTTATTTAATGAGGAAAGTCGTGAAACTATTTTTTTTTCTACTAGGGTACTGTTTAACAAAAAATGGAAAAATTTTGGTTTAGGCTACTTCTAAATTTAAATTATAGGTGGTAAAAAAATAAAATAGAGGTTTTTCGATCAATTTGTTAGGGGTTTTATAAATCGATATTCTGAAGAGAGTTCTTTATGGATTTTGATAAATTTGGTGTTTTTTTAAAGACAGTTATCTAAACGTAATATTTAGGTAGATTCATAGTAATATCTCACATACTTTTTTTGCTGTGACACATTAAATATAATTTTTCTTCAGAAAAAAGAATTAGTTTGAAAAAAAAACGTTATTGTTCAGTACCTAATTAACTTAGATACCTAATTCTACCTAAATATTTTCCTAATATTGTCTAGAATAAGTAGTAAAAATTTCAACAATGTACCTTTAGTGGCTCTCAAGATATATAAAATTTTGTATTGAAAAATGTGAAATTTCAATGTTGCGGAAAACCGCGTTTGAATGAGAAGGTGTCCTATGATCTTGTAGCTATCGTAAAGAGCGAAACCCCTTGGTTATAACATATAATAACATTCATACATGGATTATATCATACTTTTTGGATGCAATAGGGTCCAATGTACAAAGAAATGTAAAAAAATATTTTTACCATTTTTCATGATTTTTACCTATTTTCAGTGGCAAATCCCCTTAACTTAACCAATCAATAGTTTTATTAATACTTATGAAGTCAAACGGGGATGAAGCCCGTGGGTAACAGCTAGCTTCTATCTAATGGTTGTTTGGGTTGAAAGCGAAATCTGTATAAATTAGAGCGTACTATACTGCTTTATTTAATGTTTCTGCCTATTCTTTCCAGAATTTTCTTATCACTTACCATTAATTTACTGTATTTATTTACTCGTTTAGTATATCAACAATTTGTATGGTAGTGAAATCAAGATGTGTTTTTTATACTTAAGTATTGAATTTTTTGCAGGCGTCTGAAAGTAAAGTTGAGAATTTAGTTGAACAAATCACAGATAAACTTATTGAGAATGAAACACGTTTTGAAAAAACGCTAAGGGAACAGAATAACGTGGCTCGAACTAAACTGCAGAATATGAATGAAAAACCTGAGCTTTCTCAAGTGGTTCAGGCGTTGGAGGAGAATTTAAAATCGATCAGCTATAAACAATATGTTCCTCAAGGTTTGTATCCCTATTTCATGTACACATTTCTGTAATAATTTTCTGTTCAAGCATTATTCTTTTATTTCCTTCTATGAAGTTATGTTACAAAAGTCATCAAAGAATAGAAATCGCTCGTCGTTTTGTTCCAGTTCTGCTTCGTGTAACTACTTTTTTAAATTGAATAGAATGAATTGTTATCTTTACTTACTTCGCACTATAACCTTTCTTCAAATATTACTCTATGTGTTTAATAATTGAATATTTGACAAATTTGTTTAATTTGTCCGTACTGATAGAATCATTTATCATTTTCTTCAGCTTCACATTTTGGATGATATACTTCCCTAATATACATCCATCTCCATCAGAAGATGTTTTAAGAATTTTATTGTTGTGGAGAAACACTGATTCGTTACCACTGGTCACTGTTGACACAGGAACCTGATTTGTTGAAACTGCATGTATTTACTGTAATGCCGAGATGAATAAATAAATATTCTGTTACATTTTGATACGATACCATAAGATCTTATCTAATGATGTAAGTTAAATGAACATTAGTACTTTGTTGAGTAAAATCATTTTTGGTTGACCACTTAAATGTGGAACCTCGTTAACAAGACCTTGATAACCAAGTCATATTTGGTAATCCCCATGATAGGCTTGTAATCAAGTTTCTACTGTGAATGCTTGACGAAATACACAACAGGAATGTTTTCAAACACAGTTTTCACATGTGTTTCAGGATCGACTCCTCAGAGGATCAGCAAGGACCAACTCCAGTATCCGAGGAAGTTTGTCGCCACTGCACCGAGGATGGAGTTGGTGAGGAAACTGAGAGAGAAGTACCCAGAAGCTGAATCTGTACCCAATGAAAACCTGAACTTTAAGGAGTATTTGCCTGCAGACCCGTTTTTCAATGGAGACATTCCAGTTACAACTGTAAGTTATCACACTGTATTTTTTTAATTTTTTTATAGTAGGAACAGGCTTACCCGCACTGTTGGTTAGTCTTTTGAGGTACTGTGACTCACAAATATACTCTCAAATTTCAGACTTTTCTTGGTCAGTGACCACAGACCACTTTGTCAATCACAGAGAAAGATTGTCTTCAATTACAAACTCCATCGTAATCTTCCTTGTGTCGTCTTAATTTGTAGTGCAAACTAACCGTTTCGATTGATTTTCTCTAGGAAAAATCCACTGGCAGTATTGGATCTACTGGAGACAGACGCACCGATTCCTCCACCCACTCCACGCCGAGGGCTGGCTCAGGACTGGGCCGCAGGTCTACCTCCATGCCAGACTTGAATGTAACAGACGACGTGTTTGTCGTTCCTTCACCCGTCGATGTAAGTACATAGTTTAAAAACTGCTTAAACAAATATGCTGTACGTATGAAAATTCTTCATTCATAAATAAATACATTTTTTTAAGTAGTGGCTGTTTAAATAAGGCCTTCAGACATTCAGCGGCATATGACTAGATAGTTTATGGTCCTAATGCAAATGATAGAAGGTAAAGTGCAGTAATGGGTTAAAGAGTGGAATATTTCCATCAAATGTCAAGGGATTGTGTTTTTTTGGGTACCCAGACATCTCACAGAAGACCACAAAGAAAAAGGTTTTCACAGCAGTTTCTACACTCCCTAACCCATTTTGGTGCTTTTCACTCACTAATTGCACCGGCGGTGAATTTTGGCATAGGAAATGTCTCTTGTGCTGATGAACAGAAGGCTGTGACTTTAAGTAGGTCAGTGTACTCGATTCAGGGGGTTAGTTTTGTGTGTAGTGGTGGCGGAAAGGGCCTGGTTTGGGGGGGGGGGGTTGAAGTGGATCCAGGTACGACAATTTTAAGGGTTTTCGATATTGGGACATCAAGTACAGGTATAAGAGAGGCCAGATAATGCTAACAGTTGTTACGGATTTCTGTGACATTGGGTCGCTGACATTTGAGTCGTGGTAGTCAGTCGGTAGTGCAGTACATCTCTGAGCACCTTTAATTCGTTTAGTGTTAAAAATGCATTATAAAACAACGAAACAATGACCAAACAAACAAACTTCATCAACAAAAACGATATTTTACAACCTTCAATAAACGCCATACTAAAAAACAACGAAAAAGTCGGGTTTTGTAAGCAAGTGATGAGTTTGTTTTCTGAGTTATACCCAAAGTAGTTGTGTGTAAGCCTGTCTGTGTAATCTGTCACAACTAACATGTTATTTGTGTTTACAGAATAAAGAAAACATGAGAACTAGGAGTGCAAGGAGACCAACCAAATCCAAAATACCGGACCTTGCCATTCCAAAGAAGAAGAATATCCTGGGACCTGCACAAAATTTTGCCTGAAAAATCTGTACAAAACCTTATATAATAATAGTTAATAGATATTAAGTTTGAAAAAATATTATTATTAAAAAAAAATGTATCAATGTAGTTTTATCTCTTGCTTGTGAAATGTGGTTAATGTAGCCTATTTGTATATTTATTACTCTACACTTTTTTAATGCTCTCTGATGTTTTGTAAATACTGTGATTTTACTTTTTTATCCTAATAAACATTCATTATTTTATTTATTTGTGTTTCTACTCTTTTTTACCTTTTTGTGTAAGGGGCCTGATTTGAAGGCAAGCACTATATAGCCACTCGATTACTCAGACAGCTTATTTTTTATTCTTTCCCATTTCATAATTTATTACTCTGCTTCCAAAGGATTATAAGTGTTGTTAACACTTGCGATTAAAGAAAGTTTAGAAGTTAACCTAAATGTACCATCTCAGTGATATATGTGTAGCAAAGATGGATACATAATACTCTAAATGTAAAAATTACCTACTTCTATTTAACAAGGTTAACTGAACGTTTTACTACACCAAATTAAACTTCAAGTGATTTGCAATATTACTAAGTGCATTTTGTATCTTGTTTTTGAATTTACCAGTTCATAGGTTACTTTATAGTTAGGTTGAAATTAAACTACCACTCTACTGGGTAAAAAGAGTTCATAAAAGGGCAAAACCATCATAAAAATCTAATCAAGGCACTCCATGCACTCAGCATAGCAACACTGGTGGTCCGAACCCCCCTTCCGGTCTTAAATATAATATTTTTTTGTTAAATTAAATGTAAAATTATATAATCATACTGTATTGACGTTGGGGTTGATTATTTCAATGCCAAGAGGGCTATAATATAGAGGGCTATAAATAATCAATTAGAGTCCATACAATTCACTATTGAACTTGAAAAAGACAATAGGTTACCATTTTTAGACGTACTAGTTGAAAAATTAGATCAAGGCTGGCTTACTAGCGTCTACCGAAAACCCACTGCTACAGGACAAAATCTAAACTTTGCTTCTAATCACTTCTAATCTGGAGTTATTTACTTTGTTTAGGGCCTTATTAAAAATAGATTGGGGATAGCCACAGTTGTTTAAATGTTGTTTTATACTGTCTAGTTCTGTTTTAAGTATGCTGTCGTTGCTGCAAATAGATTTAGCCCGTTTGATAAGACCGATAACCAAGCCTGTTTTGACATGAGTTGGGTGATTAGAAGCAAAGTTTAGATATTGTCCTGTAGCAGTGGGTTTTCGGTAGACGCTAGTAAGCCAGCCTTGATCCAATTTTTCAACTAGTACGTCTAAAAATGGTAACCTATTGTCTTTTTCAAGTTCAATAGTGAATTGTATGGAGTCTAATTGATTATTTAGGTGGTCTTTAAATTTCATAAGCTCTTCCATTGAATCCTCCCACATACAAAACACATCATCTACATAGCGCAGCCAGATTCTTGGTTTGGTTTGAAATGATCTAATTGCATCCTGCTCAAATTTATCCATAAAAATATTGCTTAAGATGGGGCTTAGAACCCCGCCCATCGCCATACCCTGGGTTTGCTCAAAAAAATCATTTTCAACTTGAAAGTAGTTTGACTTAGTACAGACTGTTAGTAGTTCCATAATGTTGGATATGGGGATCTTAGTTTTATCTTCTAGATTGACGTCGTTTTCAAGCTTTTCCCTCACAATTGTCAAACAAGGGTCGATCGGAACGTTAGGGAATTAGTTCGTCACATCAAAGCTGACGAGCATAGTGCTATTGCTGGGTTTGTGTGGGTTTATTTTGTCAATAAAATCTTTTGAGTTTCTTATAAAACTATCAGATTGACCAAAGTAAGGTGTCAGCAATGGTAAGAGGAACCTAGATAGTTGGTAGTACGGTGAGTCAATTGCACTTACTATCGGACGCAAAGGGATGCCTGGTTTATGCAATTTAGGAATTCGTAGCCGTCTCACCAAACTAAAACCTGAAAATGAACAGCAAAACACAAAAAATCTAATATATAAAATTCTCGTGTCACAGTGTTTGTCTGCAAACTCCTCCGGAACGACTTCACCGATCGTTATGAAATTTGGTGTGTAAATTCTGTAGGTATGCGAATAGGAAGTAAACTATTTCCCGTTTCGAAATTCTTAAAAGGGCTTCGCCCCAGTGGCTCTGGAGTTTCCCATGTTAACCTTATCAGAAATGGAATTAATGAATCTTAACAGCTGTTTCAATTAAACAAGTTGGTTCTGTTCTATGATGTTCAATAGCATTAAAGTTACAAGGATTACCAACAGGGTGCAGCACTATTATTTCTTTTACATTTATGACAACAGCTAATTTGCAACCAAAAGGTGAGTGAGCGTAACGAACGAACTTCAACCTGGAGGCGAGTGAGCGTAGCGAACGAGCTAACCTGAAGGCAAGTGAGCGCAGCGAACGAGCTCCAACCTAAAGGTGAGTGAGCGTAGCGAACAAGCTCCAACCCAAAGGTGAGTGAGCGTAGCGAACGAACTTCAACCAGGACGTGATTGAGCGATGCGAACGAGATCATCTTGAAAATTAAACGTAACGGTACTTTCTTTCCATCGGTCTGTCTTAGGGGAAACCTATAACTTAGGCGATACGAAGTTCTATAAAATATTATCTATAAAATTCCTTGTTCGTGTGGTAGAAACTACGTAGGGCAAACGTCAAGGCCAGTGACGGTGAGGATTAACGAACACGTTAAAAAGGTTAAAAATAAGGATAGGTATGGCTCGAGAATCTGTGAACATGTATTAGAGACAAATCATACAGTAAAATGGGATTCCAGCAAAATTCTATACAAAGAACCGGATTGGAGGAAACGGAACATGGCAGAGTCGCTATTTATGGCTATTGAAGATGAGCCTCTATCACGACCATCGGTGGATGTTAGTACTGTTTATTTACCATCTGCATAGGACCGATAACCTTTCTTTTGGTACAACCCTCGTGTAATTCCGTCCAGTAGTAGGCTAGCTGTCATAATATTTGCAAAAGTTTTTTTATATACAAGTTTAGGCTGGAAGGTTTTAAAAATTACTTGGGATACTTATATGAAGTTAATTAATAATACCTCTGGATAGGGTTGGTATATGATGTATGCCCCTGGCAGATTAAAATTCTGCCCTCTTTCAAAATATCTGACCCCTTTCAAATTTTGAATTTACACCCCTTACTCTTTCCTTTGAATACCACAAAAAATAAACCAACAAGAACAATTTTCTTAACATTTATATTCTACAAGACTACAATAACACATTAAGATTTACTGACTTTACAAACTTTACTTTTTCCTAGCACCGTCATGTAGCATAAAATGTTAACAGAATGATACGAAGAGAAAAGAAACTTATAACTACATGGTGTACATGATTGTTGACTCTGCATTACTACTCCGTTCACAATAATTAAGGGGTTTGAGGGGAAGTTCCCCCACTACTTTTTTGTATTTAATGTACAGTATGTTACTTAATCAGCTGTTAAGCTATTATTTCAAAGGTAAGGATCAAGTAGAGGGGATTCTTCCCCAAAAACTGCCTAAATATTGTGAACGAATAACAAAAATAACTACATTACGCAGAACAGAAAAACCGCAAAAACAGAAAAACGTATATATGCCCCAAATCTAGATAGGAATTGAATTACACTCCACAAGGACCAGTAGACTTACCAGTAAATCGCTAAGAAATTGTGAGGAATAAATATCCCCCGCCGCAGCAAACCTACAGACTAGGAACATTTTTATTTGCCTGATTGGTGTTTGACAAAAAATTGTCCCATTTACCTTTGTTGTTGTTGCCTGACCTCTTGCAGGTAAGATGTTTGTGTCGCCCTATGGATTTCTCCACCTTGTGCGGCGTCTTCAGGGGTCTTCTTGAATTTATCTCCCTATTACTAACCTATTGTCTAAATTTACAAAAATATTGATACATAAACGGTCACTAGTACAATAGCGGTAGGGGTCGATCGGACAACACGTCGATGAATAAGTGGCGTAGTCATCATGGCAGTAGGTCTTTCTTCCTCCGTTTCAATTCTTAGACTGGGATTGTCAGCATTAGACCATTCGAGGTTTGACACGATAACCAGCCAAATGAAAAAGGATACAACCAGACGTACATGACCCAACCAAAAGATACGTACGTATCCACCAACTATATAGACAAATCAACCTAAAAATTCCAAAGAGTTGGACACCCACCTACCTATAAAGTAAAAACCAACCTCATTCCAAATTACAAAATTCCTTATATAAAAGACAGGCTAGTTAAAGATGGGAGAGTCACAAAAATATTTCCTATAACCACCATCTAACAACCAATACCACAGGTTACACCAACAGAACAGGTCAACTATTTAAAGAGCATGACACAAGTCATCATAACAACTCTACGATTCCCGACTCCCTCACAATTCAGAATAAAACCGACTCAAAATCCCATGGCAAAAGTAAAAGAAAGCTACAAAATATAAATGGATCGAACACCCTCCTAAACAAAAAAGAAGACTACACCAGTCCTACAATTTTCAAATTAATATACAAAAGCGACATTGAAACAAACAAAACTGGAAACATAGCACCAAACCATCAGCAACAACAGAGATCAAATCACCGACCATAAACCAGGAGAGTCAAATTAACCTCAACCGTCGATCGGCCCAAATGCCGACATCCCTAAGTCTAGAAATGAAACTGAGGAAGAAAGACCATCCACGATGATTCCGCCAAGTCTACATCGTTGCTGTCCGATTGACCCAACCGCAGTACTAGTGACCATGTGTGTAAATATTATTGTAAATATAAATTAGTGTAGTTATAGAATATGAATTCAAGAAGACACCTGAAGATGAAACACAAGGTGGAGAAATTCATGGGGTGATAAAAATCTCTTACCTAGAAGAACTCGGGCAACTACAACAAACGTAAATCTAATACGTATAATTCAAGTTCTTGAATCTGGGATGGCAAAAGATATTTAAAATATGTCGTTTACCTTTTAAAATGTATTTCCTATATCAAACCTTAAGTTTAGTGAGTGCTTAGGTTTGCTGCTACAGGACAGTAAAGTGTGTTTTTAGAGAAACACTAAAAGTCGAGTATGAAATAAATCAATTTGCCATAAAAGAAAATTACTTAAGATTATTTATTATTTTTAAAATAACATGGAAATTTCAGATTTACCGTTTTTCTCTAGAACCATATAAAGTACACTTTAATCTAC